ATGGCAAAGCAAAGTTTTTTAAAATAATTATTACTATCAATTTTATTTCAATAGTTTTGAAAACATTTCATGAGGCATTTTGTACTAATTTCCAAGATAGAAATGTAATGCTATTGTGATATTTATACACGCCAATCCAAATTTTTAATTTCCTAAAAAAACAATTACTTGTTGCTACCGACAGAAAGTCTGAGGTCTTGAAAACACTGTATGTAGTCTATGTTATCGGAAGCGTAAACGCAAATGAGTATATAATTATTAGATTAGTTGACTCGTGAATAGACGTCTACAGACGTCTACATAGGCTATAGATTATTATGAATCAATTTTTGGACAAAGAAAATCGAAACTCGATAACCCAAATACTTATTTTCGACATGACCAAAATTGAACTTGTAGGATTGAATTACCCATCGTATTTCCCCAAACACTATTTTCATTATAGTAATTAATAATTTAGTATTTAATAGAGTACTGTGAACGTAATTTAGGATTTTTCTTCAATGAGACACAGCATTCCAACAAAGCTCTGTTCAAGCAGGAACTGATAGGCATGAAGCAAATAATTAGGGTAGGAAACTGTCTTGTAAAATCAATAAAATAACAGTTTCGTTAGATTTAAATAATTCCATGTGTAAATGAAACCTTCATTTGAGAAATCGTAGAACTCTAGTACTATTGAATATGCGTGGTTAACATTATCTGTTTTGCGCACAGTGAACACCCCCCCCCCCCCCTAATTTTGAGGTGCGATTCCACAGTGTAATTCCTAACTCAAGTATAATTGTATTTTAATATTTTATAGACTGGCATGTTTATCAGTGTAGATGAGGAGTTTCCAAACCGCAGTCTGCGGGCCAATTACGACCCGCGTAACGATTTAAAATGGCGCGCCAAACTTGAGTGAAACACTTTAACACTTCGTGTGTTTATCTTTTGAGTTTTAGATACGTTTCATCGTTACATCATTATCACAGTTTAAGCACGTTTATTTCGTAACACTTGATTTATACCGGTATCTTATGTATATGTATCCATATTAGGATTACACACCGTATTTTAGATATCAGCCGTATAATATATTAGAAAAGCTTAAAGAAAACGAAAACTAGGCACTGAAAACAGACGTTTTTTAGATGGATGGCAGCGTTTTTATTTTTTTTTTCATTTGAAAGAATCAAACTTCAACGATTTGTCTTCCTTGCCAACAAAATATTTCAGTTCTGAAAGAATACAACATTATGCGTCATTATGATCAGTTGACGCGCGTATTTCAAAATTCAATTCATTGCTTAATTCATACAAAAGTCAAACAAACATGCCAAATGAAAGTGAATCTACGTTATTGGCCAGTTATATTGCAGCCCGTAATATCGCTAAAAAGAATCGTCCGTTGGTTGAAGGGGAATTTTCGCGCGAATGCATGCTGCAAGTTTTGGAAGTCATTTCTCCTGATATAAAAAGATAATTTTCTAGCATCAGTCTTTCTAACAGCACAATTATGAACCTTAACAAACATTGAACTAAAATTGGTTATAAGATTATAATTAAACATTCTTCGTTTGCGTTAAGGTTACTTAAAATCTATAAAAAAAATCTATGCGGTTCCCAATTCTCAAAATTTGAGGCCGCAATCGAAAATACATCCATGTTCCGGACATCATTTGATCCGATCAAACTATGGATAAATATGTAGAATTAGCCGAAGAAGTCGCCTAAAAGTTTTGTGTAACCAATATGAAGCTCAGTGGATAAAGTTTCTTTTTTTTATTCATTAAAAATGTTGAATATATCTACCTTTCTTTTCATTGTTTTACCGTTACCGTAATATAGTTTTTAATGTCTTCTTGTGCAAAACGCTGCGGTCTGTTGCTACAGGTCATGGATAATAGGATAAATATATACAATTAAAAATGAGCCTTTATAGAAGACGCGTGGCAAAATGAATCTACAAAGAAATATTAAATGCCTGTCTCACTTGTGGTCGGCGTAGCACACTTGTCGGCGCGACAGAAAAAAAAGATTAGTCACTTTGAATGGTGGATTTGCATAATTTTTGATGAGACGCAATTTAAGTAATAGGTTCATATTTTTAAATATGTGAGTTATAATTATAACCATTGCAAGTAATGTAACTAGTATTGTTGACTCTAAAAATATTGTTTCGAATACAGCGGGGTCAAAAGGAATTTGCAAATTCCGAGAAATTGGTTCTCTAGATTCTAGAATATTACCTAGAATGGAAAACAAAAACCTTCCATATGCAATATTAAATACCCATTATAAAAATGCGCATGCAAAAGTCGGATAAACTACGCGATTTCCGCCGAAGTTTGTTTTCGAAACGGTTACGACAGCCGTTGTAATAAACGCGTCTCACAACCAATAATTTAATTGCAACGTAATAATGGACTGTGGGTTACGTTGAAATTGAATGAAGGCGTTCATGTATCTTTGACGTAAAAGAACAATGCACGATGAATCATGATATGGTTTATCGAAACAAGATGAAATGAATCGTAGTTTGCAAGTTATTTTTTCCTCAAAACAACCAAGACGAAACGAGCCGCATAAAACCGGCGAAAAAGTCGCATGCGGCTCGGGAACCGCGGGTTGGCCACTCCTGATCTACTGAATGTTAGGTGAGGCAAACAGCCATGCCTGTTATAGTCCCGATATATGAGTCCATAACTAATTGAAATGTGAAGCGAGCCAATACAGCTCTACTTCCTGTTTAACAACACTTAGTAGTTGCAAGAGCGATATCATAACCGTTCAACATTTCCATGAAAATAACTATGTGCAAGTGAATGATGTCTCAAGCCTAACTTCCGGTCGTGACATATTCCAGTTGTAATATTCCGTACTATTTTTATAAAAGTGAATATGAACTAGTGATTTTAGCGCAGTTTTATTAGCTCATTCTCAAAGGACTTGACACTACCTACACAGCGAACTAATGTAGAGCAGGGGTTCCCAAGCCTTACCGGCCGATGGCCAAAATTCGAATCGGAAGGGTGTTCGCGGGCTGGAGAGTGTAGTTGCGCGATGGTTTAGCCATGACATTTTTGAAACATGTTTGTTTGACTCATAATGGCGATTTATGACGTTTTACTCCAAAATTGGGATGGTTCGCTGAAGTTTGATTCTTTCCGATACAGAAATACGAACGCTGCCATTTCTTTATTTAAGATTTGAATAAAATCTGTTTCCAGAGTGTAGTTTATGTTTGTTATTTGACATCTCAAGCTTTCTTATATGGTTGATATCTGAATTCCTGCCCCATGTTATCCTAATACTGTACGTATATATAATTGAGAGGCTGGCGTGATTAAACTGTAATAATGACATAACAATTAGTAGTGTCTAGCTAGATCACAAAAAGTAGAAACAAAGTCTGTTGAAAATTATTTCACTAAGCTCGGCGGGCCATTTTTTATTGTTACGCAGGCCGGATTTGGCCCGCGGTTTGGGAACCCCTGGTGTAGAGTATATTTTTTATCATTACGGTAAAGATCATTATACTAACTGATTTTTGATGATTGTTTCCAAGACTTTGTTGATGGCCGCCAGAACATTAATATGTCCATAGCTAATGGGATCTGTATATTAGTTCCACAAAAGCTGGAACAATGGTAGCAATTCCAAGTATTCTGAAAACATTTTTACATAAAATCTTGCTTTGCTAAAATCATAGATAGTTTCAATGACTATTTTCGCAATCTCAATGCGGTATCACATTTTTATTGAAAACAACGCCGGCAAATAGACCCTTTTGGAAAGTAGCCTACAACGAACGATGCGATTGTATTTTTTGTTGTAAATTTACGCATTGTCGCTACAAAACAACTCTGGACAACGGACAAGCATTTACTGTGGATAATAGGCTTGGAAATTGCCAAAAACGTATTCATCATCTCTTACTTTAATAATCATGAGATTTCTACACGACAAAGAATTAGAACAACCTGTCATGTCTATGTGCCCACACATTTCTAGAAGAGATATTAGTTGACTCGCACAATAAAATAACGCTTTTATTTTAGACAGCGCTTTTATTTGATCGAAAAAACCAACCATTGCCAAGGCATTTATTCCATTATCCCGAGTAAAATCCGAAGGTTGGTGATTTCAAAGACGAAGAGTGACATTGAGCACCAGGGTATTCAACCTTCAAAAATCTCTGATAGGCAAAATGGGTAATTCGTTGTATACCGAACGTGACTTTTTGGGTTGAGACAACACGTTCTGCTAACAAATGCAGACCATAATTAGATTCCGAGAAACGTGCATCATTTTGTGCATTGTATCTTGTATATATAGTAAAAACAAGAGACATCTCATGTATAGTGTATGGGAAGCAAAATATTTTTTTCTGGAAAAGGAATAAATATACGCTGTTTTTACTACGAAAGCAATTGGTCCTACGCAAGGTGTCGCGCTTTCAATCGAAGCAAAATAGATTTGCCATTGACGCTACTCAGGCAACTCACCAGAAGTGCTTTACAAGGCAAAATACCAACTACGAGTCTTGAGTACATAAAGAGCACTCAACCAGGTCAAAACAAAGTTGACAGTCCTATAATAAAAATAGCAATCAATGTAATAACGAGAATATCGGTCGGAGACCAAAGACATATCGATCGAAAGTGCGGGTCCGATTCATGACTCTATAGCGACACCGCGTGTACCATCACCTATTAATTAATAACTCGCTAATTATGCGACATAATTTATCAAAAATCAATAGGATTCTGGTCCGAGATATGATGAATGCACATGCAAAATTTGGAGCAGATTCATCGGCCGCCTTCGCGAGATATTGCGTTCATCTAACAGACAAACAAACAAACAGACAGACAAAATATGAGTCGATTTGACACTATGCGGAAAGTCATCACATTAATTGATTTGAAACCGTAATAATAACCCTCCTGTGACGAATAGCCGTTGCAAACTTTCAGTTTCATCATGAAACTTTGGGGAAAATTCAATTGGAATAGTTTTCATCTTTATCATTTTTTTAATGAATACTTCCATAACTTTTTGTAATACAGATAATTCAAAAGATATAATATGATATCATTTTTTCGAATTCGTCTCTGCAGAATTGAGAACATTCCCAAACTGTTAAGAGTAACTAAGTAGCAAAGAAAACATTCTTGTCTCCAGGGTTTTTTCTCAAAAAAGAAGCCGTCGGATATGAAAATACTCAACAAGTAGCCTATGTATCTGAAATAAATAATTTTACATATGGTGGTTAGGATGGAATTTTATTATTCATCCCCGGAAGAGGAATGCCGATAAGACGGCTTAACCATATGACGTCCGGTTATGGCATTCCTTAGTCAGTTATTATTGTTTCAGATGCATGAACTTGATTTCGTTCCTACGAAAATATAGGAAAAATCGTGAATCTTTTTGAATAAAAAACACTGGTAAAAACATAAATTAAAACCACAATCAGATGCTATTTCAAAAACACACACTGTCAAAGTAGACTACTACGCAAGCAATTAATTTATATACGCTGCGTTCAACAGTGATTTGGGTCTTTGTACCAAAGAGTTCTTTTGACCCATCAAGCTGTTGGATTCAGGTTTCGTTATGACGTATCGAGAACGCATGGCTTCATGTAGTCTGTATTTTGAACTCGGGACTTCGGATCTCTCCTGTGATGGAATTAGTTAAAAGTCATCACAGAAGGCCAAAAACTAAAAATTAAAGTTCACTAAGCGTTTTGAACAGACTAAGTTTCCCTTTTCAGAAATCGATTTTCTCGCAGTTGGGAGACAAATTTTATCTAAACCAGAGTTGGAGGACGAATCTTGCACAAACCAGAAGCAATTAAAGAATTTCCCCCACAGCCCTGATTGATTGGTCAATGTATCTAACAGAATCAAATTATTAAACCCCTGCATGCGCTGAGATGTTGAATATAAGAAAACAATTAATATCATTTACAGAGTTTTCGTTTTTCTCCGTCACAGATTTTCGCAAACCAGAGCCTGGGCGAAAGAGACGAAGGCTAGCTTGAAAAAATTGATTTTCTATCAGGTATGTCAGAATGACATGTTAAAAACTGTATTATTAGAAGAGTAAAACATATAGCAGATAAAATATTAAAATAGAAGGCAGAGTACATGTATTTCCAACCTCAAAAATTCATTCAATATACATATTCTGCAAACGTGGATTGCTTCAAGAAATACATTTCACATATATAACTCACCACTAGAAAATACTTTAGCAACAAGTTTTAGCCATCATGTGTTCTTAATAAAGTGAAACCACAATACATATTCAAGTAAACTTCAATAATTTTGAACAAAAGTCTCTAAATGCACTCACTTTCGAATAGAAAATCATGATTATAGCGCACAAACAGATTTATTTTTCATGTCCAACGTTAATGGAAACCACATCAAACAACAAAATATAAATTCACAAAAAATCTGCCAATTTTTTGGACTGAAATATCACCACTATAAATATTGTCTATATCAAGTCCAACAACAATACTAAGACCATCCGTGCAAAATAAAACACATATGACGATTCGAAATTCTTGGAAAGTACAACAAATGATGCGATTTGATTTTTTGTTGTTAGTTTACGCACTGTCGCTGCAAAACAGACTATGGACAAACATTTACCCATTGACAGATTGCCAAGCATAATACGCTTTGAAATTGCCAAAAGCCTATGCATCTTACTTAATGCATTATGGAGATTTCTATAGGCCTAAGCAAAATAAATGAGAACAATGTGTCATAAATTCTTTTGATTAAAACACAGTTAGAAAAAATAAATTAAAACCACAATCGACTGCTATTTCAAAAATACACATTGTCAAATCACAAACACAGATTTATTTTGCATTTTTCATGTCCCACACAAATGTAAACCACACCAAACAACAAAAAATCGTCAAATACACAAAAAACAGCCAATTTCTTGGCCTAAAATATCACTACTATAAATATGGTCTATATCTTCAAGTCTAACAACAATACTAAGATCATCTGGGCAAAATGAAACACATATGACAATTTTGAAATTAACAAAATTTTGAATGGCCGATAAAGATCGTTTCTTTAAAGTTGTGTCTGAGGGTACGCTCCTGGTACTGGACTCACACCCGATGTAAAAAGATAGGGGGAGAAAGGTACAAAAAACCTATCTTGGAAAGAACTCTGTGTTCCGAAAGCTTGTTTTATCCCTGCAAATACAATTTAGGAAAATGTCAATTTTACAGATGAAATGCACAATGCAATGGAAAAGTAATTTTTCTTGCAAATGTTAAAATAGGTAAAACAGAAAAATCAATTTATCATATACCTACTACTGCTTAAATATAATATTTGAACAAGCTGGCAACTAATTTTCAGTGTGCACTTTATTCAATTTCTTTCGTAATACCATTTACATTTGTTAGCTGTTTGTCAATAGTACCACTTGATTTGTTTTCATCTTACTAGGAATTCATGTCGATTGTTCTATGCTATGAGTGGGTTTACCTAATAAGAAAAAGGTTGAGAATCCCTGAATTATATAAATGAGAATAATGCCTTGATAGGATAGTATGTACGAGAGTATATACAAATACATACCTTATACTTTGATTATGTTTTTTATATTCCATTATAACAGTTGGTGGTAAGTTGAGAACTCTGCGCAATGTGTCTCGAATTCTCGTGGTAACTTGTGAATTATTTGCAGTTTTATTCCATATAGATATTATATCTTCCTGAAGTAATTGAATAACATATTTGAGCTATAGTGAAATAACGAGACTGTGGGTGCAGAAAAAAAATTTAAATAAACAAAAAATGATATTTGAATGTGTAACAGCATAGTGAATACAATTAGACACAAGAACCACAAGCCAGTTTTCACTTGCCAGAATCTGTTCATCACATCAATAACAAGCAACACCACTGAGCAGGATGGTGCGAAAGCGTGCAACATTGATAAACATGCCCAAAGCTGATTGATGGTGGGTAGGCCTCGTTGAAGACCCTCCTTGAAAATGATAATACTCAACAAGTGCACCAATCATAACCAAGCTACAATTAAACTTAAATAGGCCTCATCATGACATGTCAGTGAGATCAGCTCCTTTGCTCGCAGCCCAGGAAGGATTGCACTACAACCCTGCAAGTCCTAATCAGTCCCATTGAGAAATGTATATATAAAACATAAGTGTTATTTGTGTATTTACCTGGAATCGAAGCGAAACAACGGCTCCACATACTTCATCACCAACCATAAACTGTTCACCAACCATTGCCATAATTAAATTCTCCCAACATCTAGATGTAAAATGTTTCCTTAATCTTACAATCCATTTCCCACCATCTTTGTTTGCTTCATCCTTATATGAAAAAAATAAATAAATAGCAAGTGAAAACAGGGGATTCAAATTTCTGAACATTTCAAAGTTCATGAATAAAAGAGAAGCTTCATCTAATTCTAAATAACAAATTCATCTAACATTCACAGGATTCCTGATAAAAAATCACAACCCCCCCCCCCCCATTTCAATCCATGATACAATATATTCCACATGTATAGCTTAGTAGACAATAGACAAGTAAAAATAGACATTGTGTCAATGTATGGATATCAAATCTAGTTAACCTCACAAAATGTAACATTCAATCAATAGCATATTTCCATCAAATATTATATAATATTCAAAAATTTGCTGAATGAAACACTATAAAAAAAAATTCACAACATTCATGAAAGTAATGGTAGTCCATACATATTGTACATATAGATGAGGTGATTTAGGGATGACTCTTGACTTATTTGAGACTATGTGGGCAATAAATTTTTTGAATATTTTTCCTATGACCTTTACTGCCTAGTGCCTACCTCCCACAGTGGTTTGATTCCTTGTTTGAAAAGATGGATATCACAATGGCCATTCAGGTCACCAGGACGTTTCATATGACTGTATGCTTTCCAAAATTGTTCAACCTAAAATGGAATAAAGCCTATTCTAGTGGGTTAAAACTTTATATTTTTTACACCCACTTCGATGAATTACATGATTAAAAAGTTGAAAATGAGTCAATCATGCAGTCATTGAATAGATAATTAATTACCGTGATTACATGTACAATTGAATGTAGAAATCCCATCGATATAAATCAGATACTGATATCACACTACACCACCCCACCAAGGATAAGGATAATAAAGGAAAATAAAAATGTGCAATGAGTCATGGATCTTGCAAGGTTTGGTGCTTTCCCGCTTTTATGTTTTTTTAAGTACCTTCAAATATGCCTACTCATTTACCAATCTAAATTTGAATCATTAGACTCATGTGTGCCTCATATGTGCTCCAGAAGGCTAGTATAAGCAAAATAAAAAAACACAAATATAATTTTTGGTAGGAATAAATCTCTATTTCTCCTATTTCCAAAGTGCTTAATTGAGAGCCTATTTTAGTCCATCCTTTATTATTAAATATATCAATATCATTCAAAAACTGTGGTCCTATCAAATCAATTAAGTTTTTCCCATAGAAAGTTATGCTACCACTGGTGATAGGATAGAATTTACATATTTATCCGGGAAAACAAAAGCCGATAAGAAGGATTAATCATATGGCAAACCACGGCCTCTCGTCCGATTACCAGTACATGTCAGGTATGGGATTAATTAGCCAGTCATTTGTTTCTGGAAGCACGGACTTAATTGTGGAAGAAGCCTTCACCGACCAGCGGTTTCGTGAACCACACTACGGCGACGAGGAATCCAGCAATCCTCTCACACACAAGCATCCTGCATGGGATACGAACCCATGCAGTGTAATCAGACGTGTGGTGGCAAGCGTATTCCTAATGCTTAGCACGATGCGGCACACCGTCGAACCGCTGATTATTCTGAAACTTTAATAAAATCTTGATTCGCTTTAAGATAAACCAATTTTCACCCTCGAGAATTTGATAGCAGAATTTAAGAATATCCAACTATTTTGTACGGATTGTATGGATGAGGATATCGTAATCAAATCATAAAACCTGTGCATGAAAGATACTCACAGATATAAACGTCGCCACTACTCTGATATTTTTTTCAAAAGCTGATGGATCAGCAGGACGACCTGGAGGCCTCTTTGAATACCAAAAACAATAAGAATATTGTAATGGATGTTCTCCTGAACCAGGTTTTACTTCTCGATGCATTTCATCTGCCATTGTTGCAGGTTTTATAGAGATTTCCTCTCCACTGTCATCATCCTGTAACCTACAAATGAAGGTAAGTTGTAACCGACCAGAAGTTACATAAAAAAGGGCTGGGGAGCAAGTTTGAAATCCCAATAACTGCAGCCCAGGGCAAGAAAACTGACTCTAGCTCCAGAGCTTCAGTTTATTTTACTCGAAGCTGGCCACCCAGCGTCCGATCCATAGACATGTTTTTTGGTATGACCACTACCATGGCACACTAGCCCAAATTAAATTCTGCGACAGTCTGACAGTGTGAAACAAAATCATGATGTACCGAAAGGGTTTCAAATTTTGAAATTAAACTCCCAATGTTACAAAGTTCGGCTAGCTTTATAACCGTATTAGAAATTAAATATTAGAAGTAAAATATTTTATTATTAACTGTCAAATACTTGAAATATGGTAACTTTTCGTGTATGATCAACTGTCAGACTGTAGTTAAAATATACAGATATACCGGTACCAGTAGATGGGTCTGGTATAGTTTAGTACCACATGCACTTCTAGTTGGCCTGGCTTAACAATTTTTGCAAATGTCATTCCTAACCCCCACCTGACTATGTCACCAAAAAATTATGTCATTGCGACGTCACATTGACGTAATCAGACCCACCAAAGTATGCGAATGATCGCCCAAAACGCGCAGACAATCACCCGAATTCGAGCTCTCGTTTTCGCGTCGCATCGATCACGTTATGAGAGAGATAGCCGGCGTTAGCGAGTTCGTTATCGGCGGCGCAAATGCCATTTCGGGCTATCGTAATTATGCTTTGGCAAGCTCTATGACGTAAAGGTGACGTCGTAGTGACATAGTTTTTGAATGGCATAGTCAGGTGGGGGTTAGGAATATTATATGCTTAATTCGTTATACTACGCCCACTGGAAGTACTTGTGGTACTAAACTATACTACTGTACTAGACCCCCAGTAGACTACTGGCACACTGTTGATCAGTATATTGCAGTATTTACTGACTGATTTATATAGCAATAGCAACTTTATATACCGGTAACTTTTTTTATGTGTATTTAGCCTATATAGCCTAACTAATAATTGAAATTTCAGTAAATTTGCCCTTGATCGGGTGTCGGTACTTCAGTACCGGTACTTACGCACTAAACTTGTTGTTCATTCTTAATACTGTTACGTGCAACCGTGCTGCAGTACTGCCGTAGTTTACAGCCAGATCATAAAAAATGAATATTTATGTTATTTCTGTATTTACCGGTAATCAATGTACAGCCTGACAGATGTACCGTACCAGTATTTACGTGGTATTTACGGTACAGATTTATGCTAGTTCTCTGTAAAAATAAAACATCCGACTGTCAGAGGAAATTTATCTGTCAAGTGTCAACCAAAGTTACTTTAGCCCACACTTAACCTGCGGTCAGTGGGTTAATCAACTATTTTCCTCTATTTTATTCGCTTTATAAACGGTACCGGTATTCAATAAAAACTTGGTTGCTCCGATAATATATAGACCATTTGTGATATACGGTACCGGTATCCCACGCGAATGCGACACCAAGCACGGCTCAGGTACACCGAATACCGGTATGGCCTAACAAAAACGAGCGTGGGCTAGCGTCACACTACTGCACTAGTGTGGGCTGGCGTCACACGGGTGTGGGCTAGCATCACATGTGGGCTGGCCTTCCAGCAATGTTAAACGATGATTTAAAGCTTCCTAAATATCTACAAACTACTAAATTACATAAATTTTAAATCAGCATCAGAACCTCACAGCAATTTATGCAGTAATGGCAGAAAGTGGTCTTAATGGACCTTTCCCAGAGCATCGACTTCTTGTTTACTTCGTGACCTTGGCCAATCAGCAAGACGCAAAAGTAACGTAACAATGCTCCTTGTTGACATCTGCTCAGACACTTTTCTCACTCAGACAGATTTTCAAGCGTGGTCGTGAACATTACCTCGTTTTCGCGTTTTTGAACTCTTTTCGTTAGTTTTCAGTTGTGTTTCGGAAACTTAAATGTAAATCAGATAATTCAACGGTCACCCTGTCTTCCTAGGAGTTTTAATTTAATTGCAGTCATATAAATTAGTGTAGAAATAGCTGTGATAGACTAGGCTAAAATTCTTTACCTACATTTAAAAAACAGATTGTTATATGCGATGAATCATAATGATGGTTTGAAACACATAACCCATTTCACAGGCGCCAACTCGCAAAAGCACTCTTAAAATAGCCACGAAAATTTTGCAATGTCAAAAAGCATAACATGTCGCTATTAAAAGGCAATGGTAATAAAAAAACGTTGTTTTAGCTTGTTTCCTTTAAACGAGGAATTCTCAGTAAGCGCCAGTCATCAAGTTGTGTTGATTACGTCCCTGCCATTTGTACACACCGCCCGTCGCTACTACCGATTGAATGGTTTGTTTGGTGGTTTCCTCGGATCGGCCCCGTCGCGGCTGGCAACGGCCGCGTCGGCGTGTCGAGAAGACGATCAAACTTGATTATTTAGAGGAAGTAAAAGTCGTAACAAGGTTTTCGTAGGTGAACCTGCGGAAGGATCATTACCGAAGGTGGTAGGCCTCGGCCGACCGCATTTGTCTTTGGGTGCCGCCGTGAGGGCGGCCTTGAATCAGGGGCACACGCCCCGTGCGACACGCGTAATACGTTGGCATAGCAAGGCAGCCGAGTGCAATGGTGGCTTCTGGGCACCGCGCTCGATGTGCCGTCGGTCGGCGCCGGCGTCGACGATAAGCGATGCCAGCGTGCCGTGGAGGCAGTCCGCGAGACACATAGGACCTGGGTTCGGGCGAGAGCACCCGCTGAATTTGAACATATTATTAGTCGGAGGAAAAGAAACCACCAGGGATTCCCTCACGCCCGTCGCTACTACCGATTGAATGGTTTAGTGAGATTCTTGGATCGGCCTCGTCGCAGCTGGCAACAGCCGCGACGGCGAGCCGAGAAAACGATCAATCACCGCCTAAATTCGGCAAACAAGATACAATAATGAAAAATATACTTAGATCGGCCGCAACCTTACGTACGGGTTAGAAGTTAGATACATGCCTGTATTTATACAATAAAACATCCCAGGCTATGCTAATTGAAGGCCCCCTCTGTACGAATGACATCAGAAATAACCTAATCGAGGAAATATACATAGGCGTACATACAAAACGGAATTGCACCAGAAAACAAGCCCTCGCAATATCCTCGTTTTTAGTGATATCTGATCTAAGATATATAACATATATTTTATATAATGATAATGCTTACCTTCTTTGTAGCTTAGATGAATTAGTATTATATATAGCTATATATCAATATTTTTTCATAAATTAAAGGCAATATTACGATATAAAATTGTTTAGTTAATTTGAATTAGCATACTTTTGTTTTTAAGGTTGAAGGAATAGAAGTTATACAAATTCGTTTATGTGGCCGTATTTACATTTTTAATGATTTAAACGGTAAATATTTGGAATTATTGACCTGAACAAAAATTATGACATATGTTAAGTTTGAAACTAACATTATTCAGAAATAAGCCTTTACATTTTAAAAACGATTAAAAATGTATAACAGTTCAAAATTGATTGACAAGGCCCTCGAGGAAGAAAGTCCTCAGGCTTCGGCTACTTTGCCTAATAATATATCCAGTCCCGGTTCGAATCCCACGAGTGATGTGACAATGTACAAGAGGATTGCTGGGCTCCTTGCAGTAGAGTGGTTTGCGTAATGGCTTATCAGAAGCGACTTCCTTCTGTCAACCACGTTTGCGGACGCATTGTGCTCCAGCTCAAGGAGGCGTGTAAGGGCAAGTGATCGATATTTGTGGCGTTTCGAGAGGTTTATTGCGAATAAGAAAAAATTGGCAAGTTCTTATCCTCTTTTCTTGTTCTAGCTGTAATCAATTTAATGCAAAAAAATCAAACGATAAAGCTATTTTGAACAAAACAGACAAAAAAAAACTTGATTTAGAAAAATTGTTTAAAAACAATTATTTTCGAACATATCCCTACCTAGATTCCTGGAACTTTTGGGTATAATCATGCGCAAACAGAATTTGAAGCATAAACAAAATTTATTGATGTTTTTGTATAAGTTATTAACAATATTATGGGTTCCGTTTTTTTTTTTGAGTCACCCTGCTGTATATACAACCAATTCTATAAAATATGTATTTATTCAAGTAATGTGCATACACAGCATATACATATAGAATTATTTTAATGACTATTTACAAATTTACGGAATTATTTCGAGTTACGGAAGGGAAGTTACGAATTACGTAAAGTCGTAATTATTGGTCGAGCGCTTTCGCGATTGAAACGAGCTCTCTCTAAAGCAGTCAATTCCGTCGATTGTAAAAAGTGAAAGTTTAAAAAGTAGAAGAAGTTAGAGCTTCGGCATCTGCAGCCGTTTTTCCTCACTTTTCTCTCTCTTGCCAATACGTCACCGTGATAATTAATGTCGCGCATATCAAACAGCAATATGACGACGGAAGAGAAATTGCGTAATGAACCAACGCAACTTCGTCTTTTCGGCATCGGTAAAGCGATTGAGACGGCAGAGAAACAACAATATGACGGGATTTCCCGCGATCCTGTAAAATCAGCAATATGACGACGGAAGAGAAATTGCGTAATGAACCAACGCAACTTCGTCTTTTCGGCATCGGTAAAGCGATTGAGACGGCAGAGAAACAACAATATGACGGGATTTCCCGCGATCCGGTTAAAATCCTTCGCGGACCGTTGACGGTCCGCGGACCGGCGGTTGGGAACCACTGTTTTTGGATATATAAATCGAATCCTATTCTATTTTTATAGTTACCCGTATTTAAATAATGGGATTTTTCCACCGCAATGCATGATTGAAATTAAAAAAAAAGCTAAATTGTAGCCTAAATGTTTAATGTATAACTATCTTTGTGCAGTATTTAATTGAAAATGTCCTGATCATTGGATTATATTTAACCAAGGCAACGAGATTTAAGAACGAGATTGACGATCGTTTTTTTGTTTTTAACAGTTCAATATTCTCAATTTAACTACTATCAAGTATGAGCCAGTGTGTTTATTCTGTGCGAGAACCATTTTCAATTACAAAACTTTGATGTTCTGTTACCGGTTTTATCGTTTTATATCAGTCCGGACTTCTTGCTCAATATATTTTCCACAATGCCTCGCAATATTTCGGCCAAATATGATTAACTGTCTTTACCAAATGCGGCAACTTATTTTGATTCTTGAAAACCACCGACACTCGACCAAATTTGTATCAATCTTGGCCGATAGGATCGTCGACTTGAGTTAGGAAAATAAGTTAATTTTTTCGTGAGTGCAAAATAAATGTCACAATATGCATTTTTTTTGCGATATAACTTTGTATTTTCGGAAAAGCCATATCATATAAGTACGGTATTTAAATTATGCGCAAATAATTAATATTTGATCTAAATTTGTTGCAAATAATGTTACAACATTTAGGCCGCGAAATGATTTAATGTAAAATGAAGCATGGTAATCGGAATAACGTCAATAAGTCGGCATCAATAATTATTATAAAATGCTGACTAGGTAGTAAAGTCGAATAATGTTTAAACGGTGCAATAACAAGTCTTAAAATTGGGACGGTTAATTTGCGAAGGTGATAAAGGAAATCAAAGCTAGCACAAAAGATAAAAATCAGAATAAAATTAATTTGAATTCACTCTTGTCTTAAGATCTGTCGCCGGCGTGTAGTACTGCCAGGAATATGAAAACCCAAACTCGATGTCCCAATCGAAAATGAAGTGGATTCAATTGGTTGTTATGATAGATTTAAATGTGTGAAAAAATATCGCAATTACGGGGTCATTACGTAATCGATTTGGCCGTAATTACGGAATTGATTTTTGTCAATTACGTGCCAGCCTAATGACTATACATCCAAATCATATACCTATAGTATAGAGTCAATCAAATATGCATATAAAGCAAAATCATATACATATACACACTACACAGCCAATGCCAACAATACGTATCGTAAAATTTACTATTTTTTCCGGAATCACTTATTTTTTTGTATATGGCTGCCGTATCTGTCAAATATTTATGCTTCGTTCAAGCAGTCGTGCGTGAAGCATAAATTACTTTGGCGCTCGCCGTGCAGTATTTTATGGCGAATTATATTTAACTTTATTCTGAATATTATATTTTGTACTTCACGCAGCGAATAGCACTATTTGTGAAAGTTGGGTAGCAAAATTGGATATTAGTCGTTATCGTATTCACTTGATAAGCCGCGGATCAGTGGTTAGAATATGGATTATTATTATTACTCAATATAAGAAGAGTAGTAGAACCTCTGGATAAGCAAATAAAGCAATATTAGATGTTGATGATCTCCTAACAGTTATCCTACCGTTGTACCATTACTACTAATGTTTTGATTTGTATTATTTGATTCTGTTTATCTCAAGCTGGGTAAGGATAAGATAGGTTTGTAAAAAATATTAAACAAAATAAGATGAACGGAGAAAGAGAGGAAATACCCATCCTAACCCTACTTATTCCAGCCTTAGATAAAGATAAACAGAATCAAAGAAATTGATGGCGAGACAACAGCATCATAATACCTTCAATCTATCTAAGCCTCTAAGATAATTCACTCGTTGTCAATCTTCCGCCATCGAACAAAATAGTGATAAGAAAGTTGTATATTTTGGCATTGAAGATTAATGAGACTGGTGATGAGATATTGACCTGAAACGAGGCCATTTTTCACGATCATCCTAGTCGAAAAATATTCTGAAACTTCTAACAAGAGTCTTCTGGTGGCAAAAAAACGTTTAATATTTTGACAATCATGGCATGAGTCTTCGCGCGACAAAAAAAAATTTATGGTATAGTCCGGAAGATAAGGGGCCTTTTTGGGCTCAACCTTGTTTTCAGACATAAATTTTTTTTTTATTTGTGATTGTCATCTTGGGGTCATTGCCCATCATTTTTACATGAGTGTGGAGTTTGCAACCTTGAGCAATTTTTTTTACGGCTCAATATTTGTATCAGTGTTTTTCGTCAAATTTGTGTACCATAATGGCGCACAACCTGAACCATGACCTGTTACAATACTATGTTCAGGTTGACTACGAAAGCACCAAATCTACTAGGAAATAAAATCAATAACTTTTAGGTATTTGTTGAACCCAGCTTTGGATCGCGACCCATATATATGGAAATACTGATGAAACATACGCGTAAAATAAAAAGTACTATTTCAAAATACCCGATTTTGTTGCAATTAACAATACAAGCCTGCTAATGCAGTCAGTGGCAGTGGTTTAAGTGGATATAAACCCGGTGGAGAACAGTCAATTATTTGTTAGCAAGGATTGTTATGCAGCGGGCTGATCACGACGATGCAGGGAAAAATAATGCTATCACAAGAACAAGAATGAGAAAATGGCTACATTTTATAGTATATCCTTGGGAAAAAATGTAGTTCATTCTTATGTTCCATGTCAATGCTTTTCAAACTACCAAAGACACTCAACACTTTTGCTTCTTCTCTTCTATAAAAATACATTGTTATTATATATTCGCATTTCCATCTGTTTGTTCGTGCTCCCAGGTAACTGATATGTGGCCTTCGAGGAGGCCGGGGTCCCCTTTTCAGAAACCCTGTCATAAACTAAAAGAGGCGACCGTGCTTCTCTTGCCTGTTGTCATGCTGTCCCCCGAATTCAGCTACAACAAAGAATTCATGAAAACGGGTTTTAGATTTTATGATTTTATTACTATTCTTGACAATGAATAATATACGGGTGGTAAAAATATGATCATGTTTTGCAACTTACAATCAATATTTTGTATGTAACTTTGTTTGACAGAGCCCCAAGAGATCTAACTACAAATATCAAGAATGTGAGGCCAAAAAAAGTTACACTACAACATAGCCAAATGTGCTGTATTTATGATAGATATCAAGTTTACCAAAAAGCATTACATGAAAAATGATAAAATAAAGATCAATTCAGCAATATCTATACTTGGGACTTTGCGATGTGCATCTGTGGATGACCTTATGTGTTTGTTTCGGAAGTTTAATGACAGAATTAGTTGTGGTTGTTCGGGATGTTTCAAAAAAGGTTGAATGGGAAAAAGTTTTCACAAGAGTTTGAGAGTATAGTAGAGAAGTAGAAAAATACTCCAATGTTTTCTTCACTTGATAACCACGCCACAGAACTTCTCCGCTAATATACGCAGCAATTGCGAGAGGCAGAAATGCCAAGATGGGATTTCATCGCATTGCAAACCAATATTAGCGATTCTTAGATATATTCGCGCATTTCCATCTGAACAGCGTGGAAAAGATTATATATACCTATCTACACAATTGAAAAACTATTTCAGATGAGCGTCATATCATCGAATATCAGTAAAGAAATAGTGCAATGGGAAAAGACATATAAGGCGTAATTCTCAGTAATATACAATCCAATAATCTTATTGTAGAATATGTATATATCTAAAAACATTTCGTCACACCAACCGCAGTCTGAAACTTCTTGTCTCTGGCTGAGCTTGGATACCAATTGGCACTCATGTAAACTGGTAAGAGGCACGCGATGGGGCAGATAATGTGAGTGATCTTTTTGTATTTAAAGATTTACTGGCATCACCGATTTAAGGATGTCGAGTGATGAGTATAAATCAGTGGTACGCGGAAGATGATCAAGCGGTACGCGGAAGATGATCAAGTGGTACGCGAGCAGCTTTGAATTATTGCAACAATCAACTTTTGAGTTGGCCAAAATATGCCTTTATCTTCCATACATATGTATTCGCTGAACGGCCTTGAATGAATGTTTCCCCGGCATCAATTTCCTTGTTTATTTCCGTATCCAGCAATAATCAGTGAACATTGCCTCGTTTTTGTAGTTTTGGCTGTTATTTGTCAGTTTTCAGTTGTGTTTCAAGAAAATAGTTGGGAATGAAATATCTTAATTGTCATTATGTCTTCAAAGGAGCATTAATTTAGTGGTGTAATCAAAAATGAGTCTCGCAAATGCTGCGATAGACTAGTCTAAACTATCAGTGTCTGTAAGCGGCACATGGTTGAATAATTTCAATAAAAAAATAAGGGTTTCAAACCCGTAAACCAGCTTATGAGCGCCAGCACAACAAAACACTCTCAAAGTAAGTCCAAATTTTTTTTTTGCAACAGTACAGTATAGGAAGAATTCTTCCGGGGTCAGAGGTCGAAGGAACGTCCTATGGACCAGTCCAGTTTTTACAGATCGCCCTCGCCTGCTATTTTCGCCGAATCGATATGGGCATGTTTTCGTCCGTCTTGCGAATTGGGTCACGAAGAATGTAGTGCCACATTATAAAATACTCCTATAGCGCGTGTCTTGTGCCATTGTTCCCCACGCCAAAACAGGGATTTTTCGGTGGTACGCGGCCAGAGTAAAAACAGTAAAGTGGTACGCGGCCAGTAAAAGGTTGAGAACCACTGATATCAATAAACCAGTTGAAAACCAACACGCATTATTACAAAACTTACCTTCAACACGCGGTTTGAATGAATGAAAAAGCTGAAACTAGTATTGTTTAGGACAGCATACAAATTCTATGGAATGAAATCATACACAAAAGCTCGTCCACTTAAAAAACTGCCCAACATTATACACTCCACACCCACCTGGGTATTATTATTTATGCCATCGACATTATATCTAAACAATAAAAAAAACTTTATGTCCCAAAACAAGGTTGAGGCTCGATTCTTCCTGACTAGTATATATATCAGCGAAATACCGGTCAAAAAGTGGAAGTGGTAACCACCTCACTATTAATCATTAACACTGCTACGTGACCTTGTATTACAAAGAAAAGCCAAATTCAGAATTTATATATTGCTTTGTGCACGTGTGAATCGTGTATGAAATCAGGAGAATGATAGTATATTTATTCAAACGAGAGGTAGCGAACAAAACAGAAGATATCTGGAGAACAACTGTAGATGGTAAGAGTTTTGTCCCAAGTTCGTGAAACCAAGTTTCGACCGGAAGATAGCCACCGACAGTACATAATAGTCGATTGAAACAAATTGCAGTTTCTGACAATATATATGCAGAATATAATGTATACATACTTAGATCTATTCTGATTAACATCGAGAAGATAGCGAAATATATATGTTTTTACAAAGCATGTATATAAAGAAATAAATTTAAAAAATAATAAGAAAAGAAGAAAAGAGAAATAAATAATTATTTCTAAGTGGATAATAAGTCTTGGAAAGCAACTTTGATTTTAAATTGGTGAAATATAACTGAAAATGAATTTTTCAAAATTAGATTTCAGGAAAAAATATATAAATTTGGATGGATGTCTTAGTCAACAGTATATTATTCTTGTTTACTGGTTGGTCGATAAAGCACTATTTTTCCATGTGAAATGGCATTTCGATGACTGATTGGTCCTATGTTAGTAATTGAGATGTTTAGATAAGATATGGTAGATATATTTTATGATACAGTAGTTTTAAAGTGAAATTAAAAGCAATAAGGAATATTTTTCAAATCAATATATCATTTTCAGTTCATAAAATAGGTAATAAGATGGATCTCAACATACGGTGGGTGTATGGTGTTGCAACTATTGTTGGATTTTTCGTATTGATCGTATACTCAAACTCCATGAGTTTACATTTCGTGGATATGTTATACGGTTTTGCGACTAACGTTACCCTGTATACTGAGTATTTTAATTTGGGTAATACAACGAGGAGTACTGGAATTCTTAATACTACGTTTTCCTATAGAACAACTTCTGAAACCAGTCAAGATATACATCCCCGTCTTCCTAGCGAGAAGCCAAAAAAGTTTAAAATTCCACCAACCATACTAATGTGGAATTGGGCCAACCCGTATCAGATGAAAAATAGCAAACTTCCCGATCGTTGCGGGGGATGTCGTTTCACAACGAACAAAACAGCTTTCAACGAAAGTGACGTTGTTATATTACAGGACCAGTCTCTCACACTTGATGTTATAGAATTTCCTAATAGGTTAGTTGATTAATTGTGATTTTCTGACTTCTTGACTTGAACCTATATTTGAAATGCGAATTTTTTGTTAAAAGGGGCCGCGCGTAAAAAATAATACCAATATAAATATATAATCCCTAATGCATCATGTATGCAAGGACAAGTTATAATTTGATTAATATCATTTTTCAAAGCAAGTTAGGGTCCAGGCCAAAGTCAAGCAATATTCCAAACAAAAGTGATATTTGTTGTGTGTAGTTTATTCACAATCTTTCGAACATTGTTGCTCTAATTCAATTCAATCACTGCTGCATACGCATTTCATTTGGCTCCATCTTAAAATAAATTATTACATCACAAATGAATTTTCAAAATTTTTAGTGGTCGCCATTTATGACGATTAAACATATTCAAATTATCTCGACGGGGTATATCGGGAATATAATTCATCAAATCCAATATATATGTTTTCAGGTTACCTCACCAAGTGTTTGTATTCCGATGTGGAGAAAATCCATGTCACACATTTGCAATAAACAGAGTTAACAGGGACTTGACTATGTTCAATGAGTTGTTCAATATGACAATAACTTATAGAAGGGATTCCGATGTTACAGGACCTTATGGATGCTGGGGGACTGGACTTATAAAATCGGTAGGTCCAGTGAAAACTCTATGAATTACTTGGAGCTTGAAATAAATCTTTTGCGTTCTTTACACAATTGATGAGATGATTAGTTTTTTTTATTAATTAAATAACAAATGAATGATCCGACATGGCCCATTCTCGAAGGCAGGGTGAAATATTTTATTGACCTATTATTTGTTGCTGAAATTAAACATTCTCGTGTTTAACGACGTCGTTTTGTGCATACTCTCTGTATTTTATGAGATAATGAACTTGTAATAGCAGTATACAATCAGACAAATCGTCGTCTACTATTTATTGACCTATTACTTGTTGCTGAAATTAGACATTCTGGTGTTCAGCGACGTCGTTTTGCTCATATACTCTCTGTATATTGTTAAATAAACTTTATATACAAATATTCGATCAGACAAATTGTCGTCTACTATTTTCAATTGGAAAAATATATAAATACGTGTTGAGTCGTGTTATACGATGACATTTTTCAGCACAGTTTATATTGCGCAATACTACCAATATATGATAGCAAAAATATATTAAAATATGATATTAATTTCGCTCTCGTAGACCCAGAATCTGCAAACAACAAATAAAACCAAAGTAGCTGTAATCGTTGCAAGCGACTGCAAACGAGTCGGAGCTAAGTTTCGTAAAATTTACACGGATGAACTCATTAAAGCTGGATTAAAACTCGACAGGTGGGCATATTTGAAAGCTTTTATTATAATGCTCCTTGAGATTATATCTTTGTGTGTTTCATGTTTGTGTGAACTTCCTAGTACCAACACATTTTTTTGAATCTTCTCGTGGAATTTGCGAGGCGTTATTGTAGAACAGCACAGCTAACAAAATCTACTTTAATCCGATTAGTTTATGGGATCACCCAACCGTGATAAACACTTACAAAAAGAGATGTCAAGTTATGGCGTATCTAAAATCCTATTGTTCAGATTACTTTAAGTTAACAATTTCACAACATGAAGCATTTAGACTAAAGTTGTACAAGGTTTTCAACATCTTGGGTCACATTATTACTTTTGTATTGTTTGCGCGAAACATTAGTGCTAAGAATGGGTAAGCAGCATAATATAAAAAGAAATTCGTTCCGACACAACTTGCGGACATGGCGAGCATTGTGACTTACCAATTAATTAATTAAGCATTGTTACCCACAAACAAATACATTTTCATCCCATAACGAGTCACAATATATATATATATATAAATGGGTCAACTTTCCTTTCAAACTCATGTTCACTGGACCACTCACAAATCATAGCGAAATGATTGATTACTAAATTTCAACAAATGTGAGGTACAGGTGGGTAATATACACACATTAATAATCAATAGCTTCATAGCTTACGAGTCCTTGTCTATGATGAAAATAAAAAAAAGATCCGAATAATAGAAAATATGATAATTCTTAGATTCGTTGTTGCTTAGATCAATTATAGCTATAAATCGTTATCTCATTTATTATAACTTAAAAAATGAGCTCCTCACTACGTTGAAAAATTTGCAATTAATCTAAATTAGCATATTTTATTGTGACGTTGACTTGAGGCTTCGAATCTTCGAATCTGTTATTATTTGAAATTTAAAGAACTACAGAACTTTTTTTAAAACTACAGAAATTTTTAATTTATACAAAATTGAAATAAAATTACTTTATTAAGAAATTAAACCGGTTTTATTTTGGAATAAGCCCCTGCAACTTGAACTACTTAAAAATAAATAATGGTTTGAAATTTTATTAGACTGGAATACCAAGTACATCAACTACTTCAGTACCCATTTTGCAGTTCAAATGGATAATTTGAAGGTATAATAAGACTTTAATACTGTCAATAATGATTTCAGATATGGGAAATGCTTTGGTCCGAGATATCAAGGAAATTTGCGAGAATTGTTAACACAATACAAGTTCTATTTAGCTTTTGAGAATGGTATTCATTGTCGTGATTATATCACTGAAAAGTTTTGGAGAAACTCCTTAGCATACGGACTCGTTCCTGTCGTTTGGGGATCCTCTAAAGCAGATGTGGTACGAGTAGCACCACCAGGATCTTATGTTCATGTTGAGGATTTTAACTCGCCAAAGGAAGTTGCTGAATATCTCGATTATCTGGATAAAAACGATACAGCTTATCAGGAATATTTTAAATGGCGAACGGCAAATAAATCGGAAAATTGTGGAATATCGATAAATTGTGATTTATGCAATTTAGTTTCAAAAGGTCACAGAGGTCGACCGATGAAATTCACCGACTGGTGGTTTGAAACAGAGAATAAGGAATGCATTTCAACCAACATGAGTGAAATGACAAATTACTTCAATAATTTCTATGGTATCAATGAAAGGTAATGGAAAGAAACCAAATAGTGAAGATATTTTCAATTTGTGAAAGATTGACTAACTCTAACGATTGGTTTATACTTTTGTTTATACGAATATTGTATTGAAAGAAGAATGTATTGAAAAGTTAGGATGCATAAGTGTTGGATTATAAATTATGAATAGAAATCGTCAAGATGTTTTGGTTTAGAACTTTAGACGAATAGAGTTTTTGTTAAGTGTTTTCACACTTTCACTCCAAACAACGCTTTGTATGAACAACCTCTGATGTGAGAGCTACTATTTGAGAGGGGTATTAATATTTCAGGTTCGACACCATCCCCTCGAATTATTGATCATTGGGCGAAGTGGTGAGCATAAGGCTTTGAGACGCCAACTTGCTTAACCCCGAATAAGATTTCCCATGGATGCACTAAACAATATTGTCTTAGTTTTTTCGTTTTGTCTTTTATTGCTGGTTGGTAGTTCTGTCATAATCAAAGTGTCTTTGGAACTCAAAGTAGTAGGCTACAGTAACATCTGGTCGAACTCGCTTATTTTAAGGATCCGGCCGAGTCCGTGATAACGAGTCTATGTCATTTTAATCGAGTTCTGAATTCTAGTTGTTACAAATTTAGGGATCCATTATGCACGTTTACATCTGTTCATCGCTGAATAAAAACAATTTTTGGTCAAAATTATGCATTGCATCATCTCATTAGAGTTAGACAATATTTACTTCCTTCGTCGCTAGTGACCGCTTTCCGAAGAAAACTCATTAATGTTTAACAAAGATTGAATTAATCCGGCACAGACTCAAGTGCGGTATCGACATTCAAGTATCGAATGTCAACATCACGATTACCATACGGCAATTTATCCATGCGTAAAACAATTTTAGTTTGGTTATTCTCATGATCGATACCAGTATGAAGAAATCTTGACACACTTTACGACCAAGCCTTCCAAATAAAGATTCTGGAAGATCTACTAACTTTTCAATTTCTCAGTATAATGATTGAGCACGTATGTTACGAGGTTTATCAGATAATTACAAGTCAACTGAAAGCTCTTATGTGGTTTGTGGCGCATCTCTTATCTTCCCTGATTCTAGTACGTCCTAACATAATGCTCTAGGTCTAGTGTCTGCTTCAAATGATTAGTGCCCTCAAATTCACTGAAAATAAAGTGTATCAATCGTTTTCAAACGTTCATCAGTTGAAGTCCCTCACTATCTATAATTCTATAGCAACTTTCGCTTGCTCAGTTTCATCGAGCTGAAATTTGTCATGCAATCGACACGGTAGGCCTACTATTAGTAAATCGCTAGGAGTCTTTCCGAAAGTAGCCTATTGTTTAATATATATGATAACTGTTCCTTAACAGAAAGATTTTGATAATTGGGCACGAAATGGATCTATGTATCGTTTTGATGATGGTAAATTGAACTACATTGGTTTGGGCTTATGTGGCATGCATTTGCGCATTTCTCTTTTGTTTAAATATTGTCACTTAGGGTTTAAAAATTGGGGCCGATTAAAGACAGTCGTCATTTGAATAAATTAATCGAGGTATATATGGGTTGAATTAAAGTTGAAAACATGAATGAAATACTGTATCTGTAACAGAAGACTAGCGATACCGTACAGCAGCTAACATCAACTTACGAGCGGGCGGATTCGCCACAAAGAGCTCAATTTTTAATTTCGATGACGTCATCGCACACAAATAGAGCAAATTCCAGAGGCCACAGAACTTTTCAAAATAAATGAATAAAGTAATAGCGACAAGAACAGTCAGTCTCTGACCATTGAAAGTTTCCGATTGATAATTGGTCCAGTAGTTAAAGAGAAAAGCAATTTTTCCCAACAACAATAACGACAATAAAAAGAAGGTCGCCAACAACAACATAATAAAAGTACACTCTATAGGTCTATTTTGTGTCCAAATATCTATTGTAGCATAGCCATCTTGATGAGATGCAATGTTACAATGCCACAAAAATTAACATAAAGTTTACTTTACAGCTGAACGACGGTCGATCGCTTGATTTGTTGAGTTGCAGTGTTACACCGACTTACGGCGTCTAGACCAGAGAGTATGAAATATTCGTAAAAATAAATTCTATAATTCAGTCGAAAATAAAGATATATTAATGAAATTATTTCAAATCTTTAATCTTCTTGCAAACAAGTCATTATCAGATTTGTTGTGTTCTGCTAAGCCAAATAAGAAGTCTCTTTTTCTAGTTCGTGGCATGGACGCCACAGAACCTTGGGTGTCGCTGCTTCTGATTTCTAGGAACTTCTCTTTTCTAGTATTTTGCTCTCGTAATTGGACACGTAGTGAAACTATGGGTCGTTTGTTATCATGCTGTTGTTGTTATTGTTCTTGTTGGTAATTTTTTTGCTATCGTTGTGAAAAAATCGCTTTTCTCTTTAATTACTGGACCAATTGCTTTGAAATTATTAATGGTTATATTTGATTGTATTATTCGCTAGAAGGCTATTACTTTATTTATTTCAAATATTTCTGTCAGCTCTACGGGATTCGTTTTTTTGTGCAATGACGTCATCAAAATGTGTGTAACTTGTGGTGGTTCCGCGAACTCATATCATTGAATCTCGTGCTCAGCGAACGCCGGCGCATCTCATGCTTAGCGTAAGCGAGAAGTTTTTTATGGAAAACGGGCGACTGTGGGGCCTAATCTGGCATTACAGAAGTGACTCGGATCAGTTGGACCGGATCATTCAGTTTCAATTCACGTTGTAACTGAATCAAGAAGTCCCTGCGACAATCCCTGCACCGTTACCGGTACCCCGATACAGGTAGCCTACTGATAAGTTACCACATATGATTTTGGGAAGTTTTTTATGGGGAATTGTAGATTGCGGTTCCTGATCTGGAGATACAGAATTAACTCGTATCACTTGGTATTTCAATTCACGTTGAAACTGATTTAAGTAAAATGGATCATCGTCACGGGACGTGGAAAAGCTATGACAGTCCCTGTACCGTTACGATACCCCGATACAGGTACTGGTAAGTTACCGCATATGCTTTTTGGGGAATTAGTGATAAAATATTTTGTTTTGTCCTCCGTGTTCATATATTTGAACATAGATCATTTTTTATCTCTACTTTTTTACTATCTGGAATAAATAAAACTTGACTATGCTGGTTGGAGGGCTAATTCAAAGTCTTTAAATCTTGGCTCACTTTGCAAAAAGAGGAAGTGTGGTTGAATCAAATTTTGGTGGATATAGATAATTACAGTGAAAATCTTATGTATATATTGATTCCTATATTGATTATATTTGTCGAAAAATGCTACAAGCCGCTAGAAGACGCCATGGTGTCAAATTTCTACTACTGTATTTTCAATAAACCATGCTTCTTTGTAGATAAATATGTCAGCGCGCAAATACTTTTAGCTTTTTAAACTTTTAGTTTTCTCAATGCCTTGACCAAAATCTAGATTTATTACACTGAACAAGCAAGAAACCGCCCAAAGTTTTAATGTGCATGACATAATGAATTATGCTATTACGGTTACATGTGAAGTAGGACAAACATGCTTGACCAACTTAGTTATATTCGTTTGAATTTGATATTACAAGACATTTATTGTGATTTTCACTGTCCGGTCTGAATATCGACAAATTTCTTCTACCTGTATTTGTGCAACACTCACCAAGCGGTTGATGGTCTTTTTCGAGCACCTTTCTGATGAAAATAAAATATATGATCAGGTGTTACCACTGTAATTTTGTACATTCAACATATATCTGGGTCTGGAGGTAAAATCAAGATCAACCATGATTATTTTTTCACTCATATCAAGTCATTATCGAAGGATCAAGATGGTAGGTTGAAAAAGAGTAGCCTATTGGATATTTTTGTTGCTACTATTATTTTAATATGTTTCTACACAATCGAAGCATACTGTCGGTTTGTATCTTCATACCTCTGAAAATCTTATTCGCCTCTTGGCGTCTGATTTTCAAATTACGCTTCTTTATATTTCATCAGCCGCAGAGATCGCAGTTAGGACAGGAAATCAAATTATTAATCTTTGATTTATACACGCACTAAAAGGAATTTAATAACTGTCGACAAGTAAATCTCTTGTGGGACTCAACGATTGTGGCAAACTTAATTGACATCAATTGTGGTCATACATGATCGATAATTAAATTGACTTTTTCAAAAGCTACACATTCGTAGATCAAGTATAAAAGAATATGAAATATGGTAAATGATTTCAAAACAATTATGCTGAATGACGACCGTTGTCTAGAGAACAAGTAAAAGAAAACGTAATGAGTATTTGGTTATGCAATAAGTTGCATAGGAGTGATGTCATTGATAAATTCAAAATAGCTTTAACGCCAAGAGATTTTGTGGTTGGCTATCAGTTGTATAGGGCATAGGTTATGGCCTCTTGTTACCCTCTATCAAAATGGGGACGGGTATGACGTAAAAAGGAATCATAAGTGAAATAACGGGTTAATCGTGGTACTGAGTAAAAATTACCCACGATCTAGGCAATGACGTTATTCGAACACGTAAATATGAAATTTGAATGTGATAAGTTTCAATTTTTGCAATTGAAATAGCCAAAACAGAAATATGTTTACAATCTCAAAGATAGAAAAATAAAACAGAGTAAGCGTTAGCATCCATAAATTCCATTCTCATGTTATACAATATATAACTAATAATAATATATTGCTATGTTTCATTTTTATAAACTTGAAGTTGCACATATTAAAAAAAATAAACAACGAAAGAAGTGGAAATAAACGTAACATATTCAGGTTCGAATCTTTGGTTTGTGTCGGAATTTGATATGTTAAGGTCAGACGGGGTCAATCACATCTGGTAGACTATGTAAGCGACACCTCAATTCATTTCCAAAATATGTATTACAACTTTAATAAATATTACTCTTGCCAAGTTTATTTCAAACAGCCGGTTTCCCGACGCTCACCAGTCAGACGCTATTACGCATCAGCTTCCTCCAACTTTACGCAAAGTCGTCGGACGCAACGTCATTCTCTCGAATTAGTAACGTGAAGCTTTCACCAACGTGTTCTTTACCCTTGAATCTCACTGGGATCAAAACATTCTGAAAACTACGAATCGCAGTTATCAGCAAAAAAGGTTTTGAGGGACATCCAAGTACAATTAGACCGATCATGCCGGTTGAGTGTTGCGTTAGACAACAAACTCAGGTAGACAGGTCTATCTTTCAAGGAAATTTGCTCAGAGTAACGCCACGCGCACTCACTTCGAGATTAGGGAGATCTCGGACCGAAGTTACGGGTGACCACGGAAATGTTAAGAGCTAGTGAGACTATAAAAAATATAGTGTACAATTGCGCGTTAGTAAATGCCGATTGCCGCGAGACTGGCACTTCATGGTGGTACACAATATGTGAAGTAATAGTGTTTCATCAGGCATTCGCACCTACAATTATTAGTTGCTTGTATCAAGTTCATTTGACAGTCTTTTCTAGTCTAACCATAAACACAGTGCACAGCGACGTAAATCAGTTGGGTTCCTGGATGAATCGCTAATATATATACAACAGAACAATATGGATCCTATCTGGATAACTTTCTCTAATCGATTTTCAAAGAGTTCAAAGCTATTTCTAGCCTCGGTAACACAAAATAAATGTATGTCTCCAAATGAATAGCGGGTTAGGTCTATTGCTCAGGACTGAGCGTCTCACATCTGTACAATGATTGTAAAAATTTGCCAACGCGACGGTAGGATAGCATATAGCCGCAATTCATAAATGGATAAGCGTGTTATTGCGTGAGAATAAAAATATTGGGGTTAAAAAAGGACAGGTGTGAATAATTTAAACGAGATTTATAGGTATCAACTAATATATTTTAAGAAGAATAGCCTTTAGAGCAGGGGTCGGAAACCTTTTTGGTCGAGAGAGCCCTAAAATATACATATTTTCAATTGCATTTCCGTGCGAGCCATATAATATTTCTTCACTTAATCAAGCCTGAAACGTTTACTCAAAAGTCAACACATTCCATGTCAATATACATTTAATGTGACTTCTGATGCTGCATGTTGTCACTGCGTGCCTTGAACGGTTGCTCACATGCAGCCCAAGTTGAAATCCACGATACTCATCACCCTTTGTCGTTTAGGCATCTCCGTAGTATTTTAAAACTCTATCGCTTTGTGATGTCACAATATATGTTCCAGAATCCCCATGTTTTGTCACAATGCTTGTCTGGTAATTCTCTTACATAACATAGACATGCGCTGGGCCCGCGTTGTCAAACGTATTGGGAATTTTTTGCCAAATTTGGCCATAAAATAGTTTGAAGTCTAGTAACAATAGTAAGCTTAATCTTAGAATAATAGATTTTTCTGGGAGCCATATGCCGTCACCAAAAGAGCCATATATGGCTCGCGAGCCATGGGTTCCCGACCCCTGCTTTAGAGTACTTGACATAATTTTAGGAGCTTGATCATATCGTTACTGTTGTCGGGGTTTTAACTTATGATCCCCCGCAGAAAATGCCCAAGAGTTTACGAAGTCGTCGCATATATTTTATTTGGTGATTTATTTCTTTCTTATACGTGTAGAATTAAAAACAACTTAACAAGACTAAGCATTCAATGGCTTCACGAACAACGAATTCCAGTCTATTATATATTGTGGCAATTACTCTGTTCGTCAGTATTGTTGCAGCACAAGAAGGAACGTCGACAATATTAACAGAAAATATTAGTAAGGCATTTTACATTCTTTTTTAATTATTTAATCTAAGTTACTTATTATGTTCTGACTCATTGCCCATAGTATAGACGTTAATCCCGTTATTCGTGAGTAAATATCAATCGAAATTTAGGAAAATCAATAAAATCAATATGAAAATCTCGTTCCTAGCCTGTCATAATTTCCAATTTTTGTTTATCAGGTATTATTATAAATATAATAAACGTTTTATCTACTGGCAAAGGCTGTCAATGTCCAACGAGAAGTTATCAGTTGATTGATATGCAGCGATACATCAACTTGATTCATTTATTATAAGCTCAAGCACGGTTAAGGGGAATTGTTTTGAAAAATACACTTGATTATATCAGCCATTTATCTACGCTGTAGAGCGGAAACGCATAACTATCGAGGTATTGTCATAATTTAGCCGACGGGCACAATTAACAGACTGGTGGCGATGACTACATATGTTCAAATCCATTCGCATTTGTGTGTTACCACACAACACAATTCGATGGTTTTGAATCGGTAGTTTTGATCTGATAAGTACTATATGACACGAATATAGCTTACTGCGGACTAAATATTCAGATGGACCTTTAGGCGATTATTGTGACTGCTACCTTGCTAGGAAGAAGTTGTCGCAACAAACACCGACTAGAGTTATTTATTTTGATTGATTTCAACAATAAATAGATCATGACAAGAAGCACGACCACATCCCACATAAATAAACGTGCCGCGTTTTGGCATTCACCCTCCTTCTCTCACTCCCATTCATTTTCGAATATAACGGTCAAATGTGGTGTCCAAAAACATGATCTTTTGGTCAGAAAGTGATTTTCCTATTGCAATATCTTATTTTCGAATAAAATGTGTGATGATTGTAACTCTCATACCAACGAAATCACAAGTTTGCTTGATAACGATTCTGTCTCATCTTCATCACTTGGTTTCCGCTTCTCACACAATTTTTCCTATGCTCATTGCAGAAAACATGGCGTCATGTTTCTCGATCGTATATATGATTCAGACGGTATCAAATCAATGCAGATAAAAATAATAAACATCGCCAGCCTTGTTGTCGCATTTCATCAAATTACCCCGACTGTTTACTACATGTCGTGATAGATTGTCGTAATACCATGCGTTATCATTTATTTCCCTTTAAAATTATTGTAAATTCAAAAGTTCTTGCTGTAATATTTTTGAAAATTCTCCCAGTGCTGTATCGAATAAGGAAAGAATAATGAACAGATCTTGATCGATGTTTTTGGTTAGTACTATTGAGGATCAAAATATATTTGTTATTGTTTCGACTGATTATACGATTAGCCGATAAAGCTTTTAACCATAACGTGTCGATTTGAAAACAAAATCAAGAAAATGAATGACCTGCAGGCCACAGTTATGCAGTAACAAATGGCTGTGACATTTTTGCTGTGGTAGTATTAGTGATATTTTCGAATGTTAGTGTTTGGTAGGCTACCAACAGAACCATTTACATTGCTAGGCAGTCAAATGGCACGTTTTCCCGCCATGTGCTTTTATCCTTTAAGTTTATATCTATACCAAATTCTATACCGAACTAATTCACTGAATAAAAATGTACCATGCATGTCCATTATGTCTCAAACCTGAATTTGAGGTCTTGTGAACGTTTTGGCCGAATTCAGTGCTATATTCTACTTTAAGTCCCAAAAAAGGAATATATCGATTCGCTAATATAAATAAAGTATAAAATACCTGAAAATATTAACAATTTGAGAGACATTTTAGCCTTTCATTAATAAAATTCTGATCCTTTTGTTGAAGACAAAAACGACTAATTAATTGTACTAATAACAATATACAAAATCACAACACATTTGAGAAAAAGATCTCACTCAAATAAAGATATTACGCCCCATTCGAAATCTATTTGTTTCTTGTTCTTATCCAGATGATGCATCTTGTGGTGTACAGATTGATCTAATTATTCTTGTTGATGGATCCAAATCAGTCAAACCAGAGAATTTCTTACTCGTCAAGGCATGGATCAAAGATCTTGCAAAAGGTTTCAATATCGATTCTGGAAGTGTTCAGATTGGCGTTGTAAGTTAAAGTTGATATTGCGATTTTATCCAATGTTCTCTTTCAGAGGTTTTATTATGTCTGTCGGAGAACTGTTTTTGTCGGACTGTAAAATTGATTATTTTTTCTATAATTTTGGCATACGTGTTGCACAACGTTAAACGATCTAACATTCGAAAAAGTACGGCTTATCTAACTGAGCCAGCCCCTCAAAGAAATATAAGAAATGAATAGAATTGTTTATAAATACTCGACAAGTGGCGCGTTGTTTGGCGGATATTACATTTCAGAATAAATAAAATACGCGTCAACGCCAGACACGGATAACTCGCGGGGCAAATTATATATACAAAAAATACAAAATTAACAAATCTACACCCGACTCATGAAGCCGAGGAGTGAGAATTCGGCATTCTGAATTTGATAACCGGTTTTGGAGTCAAAAGTTATTCTAATTTGATTTCAATAGTATTGTCTGATAAATGGCATGTAAACCAAATATTGTGTAGTTATATTTTGCGACTCTTTCTAATTTAACCTCACAATAATTTCAGGTTCAATATTCATACTGGTATCCCAGGAGACCAATGTGGAGACAACGATATATTAAGACAGAAATTTCACTTGGAAGATACCGAAAGCTGAGCAGTTTTAGCAGAGCAGTGGATCGAATCCGGGTAAAATATTAATTTACATAATTTACTATGATTAACTATAAGTATATGTATTAGTTATCTTTCAGAATCGTAATGTTCACAATGCTTTGTTTTTGGTTTACATCTTTCATCTTTTTCTTTTATCTTCTTTTCTTTGGTGTGGCTTTAAAACTATTTACTTTCATATTATATTTACAGTATCAAGGATATCAGACGTTCACTGCCCATGCTATCAACAAGACAGTGGATTATGATTTTCAAAGCAGATACAGTCGATATCCGGAGGCACAACGAGTCATCATCTTACTGACTGACGGAAGAGCGACAGATGAGGCGTAAGTATGGATCTTGGCTTACTTGTGTTACTTGCTAGTTTACTTCAAGTCAAAGTTTGGATTCTGCCAAAGGGGATTGTTGAGTATATTTTTTACAAAAGTTGAATTTAAGCAAATTAAAGAAACAACATTTTTCTGTAATTTTATTGAACATATGCATGGAATCTCACCAAAATATTCACAATTAAGGAGTGAATAGCAAAAATAGTCAGAATATAAAACTGTTTATATAACATTCATTTTTATAAGACAGTTGCTTTCAAAAACTCATTCAAATAATACAGTTTTTTTTGGTAATATTTATTGATTTTTTATCGCCTCGTCCAATTAAATAAATCAGGTAATTTTCACTGGGTGGCATTATGGTGTTATTATTATAAAAGTTAGTGCTTCTTGCTCATTGAGTCTCCGTTGGTATTGTTATGAACCAGGGTGGTCCAAACCCTGGCCTCTTGACACATTTCGTGCGACCCGCTAAACAATTTTAGCGTATATTAAACCACTGGCAGAGTTTTGTATTTATAGGCAAAGCATTTTTGAGTTTTTTTAGCTATTTTAATTAAGGATGGAGATTTAATACCTTCTTCTAATCCCGATGTTGAGAATGCTAGTTGTTCATACAATATCAACGTTGTATCTATGAACGTCAACACGGGCCAATATGAGAATGACGTCTTGTGATTTCAGCCGATGAGATGAGTTGCGCTTTCCATCTCAACTTCGCACCATAAGCTCGCATCAAGCAACTGCTAATTTGTAGAGACGTTTTGTACCTTTGTTTTAGTGGAAACATTTTTCTGTTTTCGAGCGCGGGCCAAGCAGTGACGAAAAGCAGAGCTGATTTAGCGCCGCGCGGTCTTTGACGATAGCCTGTTCACGCTTCAAGTTATAAAATTTGTCAAATATAACAATTCATCATAAAATTTGTGTCAATAGAAAGGTGGCAGAGGCAAAATGTGAGGAAACGTATTTTCTTGTTCATAACAACATTAAACCACTGTGTCTGGGGTGCTTTCAAGTAATGTCTGACACGAAAAATACCAAAAAAATCCCTAAAATATAAAAACACCACCCAGCACGCAAAATAACAACAGGCTGAATAGAACGGTAATCTCTCATTCTTTAGCATATTTAAAGGACGTAAACTCGCCATATTTTGATCATCTTCGGGTTTTCTTCGAATGCGGCCCGCGAGCATCAAATTCTATTGCAATAGCGGTAATTTATCAGAACGAACCATACGTCCACTATGTGCTCAATAGTATTGACTCGTTGTAACCATTTATACTCGAAAAAATAATTTTCCTAGCAATTAGAATGAAATTTTAAACTTGGCGAGTACAGTTAAATTAGGGACAACTTCAAATAGGCGCCAGCTGAACTTTTCTAAAGCAATTTTCATGTCTTAGTCATCCATGTTTAATAGGGTACTCTTTGATCTTAAAATTTGATCTCAATTCTGATGATTTATTAAAATAATAATAACTTATTCACAATAAAAAAATAAATAAAATAGTTTTATATCAAATGTTTGTCTTTGGTTACGTCATTCCTCAACATAAACATTCATTAAAATTTACTCGTATCTAATGTAACTGAAAAAACATTTTGTAAAAAATATTTATTTTTCGTCTTTCACTGAAAGTGTTGTCGTATATTTTATATACCTTCAGTAAACTTATGCGTTTGTTTCAATCTTTCAAAAACAACAATCTTACGAAAACAATTTTATGTTTTAAATCCGTATATAGGACGTAATATATGAATCAATTCAAAATTGCCATCTGGAATATTCAGCAATTTATAAATTCAGTAAACTAATCTTAAATATATGGTATAATTTAGAAATGTGCTAAAATATTGTTCTCTTTTGTTCTCGTCCGGCGATATATGTGTGAAGATAAAATTTGCCTTTTTCACTTATATCAAATAAAACACTGAATAAAATTGAAGATTCACAAATCTTTTCAACTAATGTTTTCCTAACTCTTATACTAATAGAATTATTTTATCTGAATCGTACCGTTTTTACTTGGAAAGTTATTATTTTTTGCTTTAGAGATTTGCCACTTGCTATCGAACATGCAGAGAAAGATGCTGGTGTTATGATTTTTGCTGTCGGAGTTGGTGAATATAGTTTAGAGGAATTACAGTTATTCACACACAATGACCGAAAACGAATATTTGAATTGAAAAACTTTGGAGAACTACACAATATTGTCTACGAATTGTCTCTACTTCTTCAAGAAGGTGAATTGTATTGTACACATGTTATTTATATATACTATAATTCTTTGTTTATTTACCCAAGTTCAAAAATGCTCGTAATTCGTGTGCATTTATTTGAATATTTACCTACATTAGAACGGACACCGATCAATAGCGCAACGCTTTTTTCTCCAAAAAAAGATGTAACACCAATTTCTGAATAAGTGCAACTTCTCATTACGTCCAGAGTTTTGTTGAAAACATTTACTCATTTACTTCATGATCTATTTTGACGAATTCAGTTCCGACTATTCGACCTTATGAATATGTTTTCTTATAGTCTTCCGTCAATCTATATTCAATATCGTCAATATAGCACTAATAAAATCTTAATAAAGACCTAAGCATCAGTCAGAAAATTGCTTTTCTGTTTGAACTTTTATTTTGAATGGGGTCTAGGTACTGTGAGTTAAAAGGAATATTAATAATCTCCTTAAGTTTTATATTTTGCTGTAATAAAAGGAAAAAAATTGTCAAATAATTTATCAATTTTTTCTTTAAAATGCTAGAAAATTAAATAAATTTCGGCTAAATCTCTCAAAGGCTCAAGTTCGCAAATTGAAAATTTGGCCATAAGTTCGAGATCTGTAAATGTCCTAACTTTCATTTATAAATAGTCATCTTCCTAATGTATACAAAGCTTCTCTTTCAATTAAATGTGAAGTTAACTATCTGAAAAATTTGTTGTTTAGGGCTATATCTTATATAGAAAAACTACCCTTTAGAATATTTATTTCAAACCGATATAAATGTTCTAAATTGAGTAAAATAAAGGGTGTCTTGACATAAAAATATAAACATATTTTTTAAAAATCAATGAACGCTTTGTTAGAATATAATTTTGTGGGTATATCAGATAAACGAATACTGATAGGGTTTCACTTAAAAACTAAGTCAAACATTCTATGCTACAATTACACTAGATTTTACCTCAGCTCATACATGGCCAAAGTACTGCCTCCAACTATTTTTATCATTTTTGATAATTTTTTTATGATTTGTCAAATTAGCGTAGATTTAGAACGGCTTACTAACTGCAATTTACGATATCACATTTCATGATGACATTGTGTCAAAATAACTATGTGATTATGAGATGAATTCGACTTATCTCGATATATATCAGGAAAAACCACATTTTCGTCAACAATTTAGGGACAATATTACTCGCAATATCATATTAAATATCAAAGCCTAATCTGAGTCATAAAATCTGCATTACCAAAATTTGGTATTGCTACTAACGACTATATTATACAGATACTATTGTCAATATTGGTTGTTAGCTGCTGTTATGTTCTCCCCGTCTTCGTGTTAGCGGGTCCTTGTATGATGACTGATGACAAGAATACTCATAGTCATCCAATCAAAACGGCTAAATTGAGTGGTTCCAGGATCTTACATTACACCGACACAAGTTTTATTCAACATTGTTTTGTCTGACAGGAGTTAAAGCTTAAAGGGAACAACCAAAGAATCAATTTGTTGCTTACGCACGATTATTTATACGAATTTAGCTTTAAATAATTTTACACCCTGTTACATTTAAACTGCATAAATTTTTTATATTAATGATAATTGTAAACTTCTCGTCCGAAATGTGGTCAGACAAAACCTTACGGAATAAAATTTGTGAAAGAGTTAAGTTAGACTTTTGTACCACTCAATATTGCCGTCTACCATGTCATGTTACCATGCAGTAAAATGTTCCTTCTGACAATTGCATTTCTATGAGATTCCACGCTGTTTAATTCCAACACCCTATATGTTTCGCAAAATGTCGAATATAATAACTTCGAACTTTAAACTCTAAGAATGATTTGTAATATTCAACAATATATTTTTAATTTCAGCCTGCGATTGTAACGTACTTGGAAGTCTAACAGCCGATTGCGATGTCTGTACTCGAGAATGTGTTTGTAAACCTAATGTTGTTGGAAGAAGATGTGACCAGTGTGCACCTGGACATTATAATATATCACACTCGGCAGGATGTACCGGTATAAACATTTTTTACTTCCAATTGACTTTTGCTCAGTAAACTGTACAGATTGGAGTCAATAATGGGGGGATCTTCAACACATGGCAATTAAGCCCGCTCTTTCACATTATGGTAGATTTCTACCACCATAAATCAATTTAGTTTCAAATTTTACTTTTTCGTCGGACGTAATATTTCTTACAAATAAACCGTAAACAAAAAGGGTTCCAGCTTTCCTGTATTTACTTACCATTTGTGCGTGTTTTGTGTTCCGCTTTCTGCTAAGGTTGTAAGATAATAAATTAGTTACCCTCTTACCGTCTTGCCCGGGATTAGAGTTATATTGTCGTGCTGTGTGTATTCCGTAAAAAAAGAGCTCAATGTGAGGATGTGAAGCCTTTCGTGGAAAACTGAAACAACTACTTCATTTGTACATTTTAAATTGTTTTAATAGTGATTATATCAAAGTCAAATCAATTAAGTGTTCATTTATTATTTTTCTATCGAAGCATGTAAATGTCATCCACTCGGAACAGAACAAAATTTTCAATGTGATTTCAACACTGGAGAATGTAATTGTAAACGAGGAGTTGTTGGTGAAGAATGTAACAAGTGTGAAGACGGATGGTCCGGATTTCCAGAATGTATGAAATGTAATTGCAATGGTTTTTCTACATCTTGTGACGAGGAAACAGGATACTGTATCAACTGCTCCAACTATCGTGCCGGGAAAACCTGCCAAACGTGAGTAATATGATGAGTTTTTATATTTTAATTTTATGCATTATCATGGAACCACAGTTATATACGTTTTCAAATATTCCACACAAAGTTTTTATTTTTCCCTATTCCAGCGTACGAAATAACAAATCGATATTGTTTTATGATTGTGGCTGCTAGTTCTCGAAAATTGATGATCCCGGCACCTGTCCACAGTTCCCACATTTATTGTCGCAATGAGAACAAACTTCCTACATTATCATTGTTTGCAATATAGCATTGCATTTTTTTAAATTGTTGCGCGCCCCATTGCTCTTTTTTTTATTTTATTAATTAATTTAATTTATCATAAATGGTTTACGAATCCAGTTTGATAGTCGAATAAAGGCATTTCTAATTTAATAGTAGGTACAAAGTGAGAACCTGACATGACATGTTTCAAATTTTTGTCGTGTTTGGTCTTCTCACGGTTCTGGTTTGTATTAAATGTATAAAAAATTAATCTTCATTTCCACCATAAATATAACCAAACATACGTTTCGAAGCGTTCAGCAAAAATCGAAATTACTTTTAGCATGATCATAGAAAAGCGCGTTATTTTTTATATAGGACATGCTTAGTGAACTATAGAATATTTTACTAATCTTATCTTTCCATTTATTTATAAAAACACAAAACAGACATTGTGATAAAGTATAATGTACAACAAAGGTCAAAGCTATATCAGGCGCTTGTCAATTCTAAATTTAAATGTAACTTTCTAAACATTGAAGATGGCGATTGATTAACTAGTAAAATATTTTTAGAAGTTTTCTAATATTTATATTATACTTTAGCTTATAAATCCAAATTTTGTAGCACCCTCACACTCCTGTATACCCAAAGAGCCTGTTTTCTTGAATTGCCATTAGTGCATGTAATAAGATAGTGAACATTCTTTTTCTCTACTTAAGGCATTCGGAAATGGTTGTTTTGCATCATTGCCTCTAAAACGGATGTTGAAAGAATTTCACGACCACATCAAGCTGGCATACCGAGAATTTAGTAATATACTCCAAAAGCCACACATGTATATAAACCATAAAAAAGTGCGGTCAATTGCGGTCAAATTTGCTACGGTTTTTGAAAAACGTGCAGTTGTCATCTTAAAGATATTTTATCTGTATGAAATCGCGTGTAATGAACTGCTTTTGACAAATTCATAGGCGGCATGAAAAAAACACGAGTATAATAATTAGATACAAAAAAATCAGATTACAAAACCTTTGTGAGAAAATGTCTTTCCTGTGTTATTTGGGCAAGTTTCATATGTGTTTGTTCACCCTAGTGCCAATCTTGTGGTAAAACCATATGTCTGCCAAGCAATGGCAATTAGATTTCCTACGTTAGATATAATAGAAAATGCATTTCAAACTGTATTTCAATGTTTATCGAGTCAATTTTTACGCGATTTGTACGTGATAACATCTTATTACTTTCTGATCGCAAGTTAATTTTGAGGGTATACCTTCAATTTATACCAAATCATGTTTTACAATGACATAGCCATAAACGCTGTTTATATGCATTAGTACGTTTCGGAGTAAATTGTTATGTTATGACTAATCGTATCGAGTGTCTAATCGATTCCATTTAAATTTAATTCATATGTACAAGTTTTCAGTATGTATAGATTTTGGAGTATTCGGACAAAACAACTGGAACCCTTATAACATATTAGAGTTTAATATTTACAGCAATACAATCTCAATACCAGTTGTGAAAGAGCATTTCTCATTAAAGGCACAAAACAACTTTAGTTTTTCAAAATAAATAACATATTGATTAATTGAAGATTATTTTATATATAAAACTGAATAAATAAGACAATATTAGTTTAATGAACATAAACTAAAGTGTGTTTGGTAAGGATATAAATTTAAAAATTTCACTATTACGAGAAGATATCGGATCGCTACATTTTAATAACTGATTTTGTGCGATTCAAAAAAATTATCATTAATTCAACACCAGAAATTGTAAGCTGAAATCGATAGCATTTATTGGCAACTTATTGGTTGGTCACATATTCTAAACATCGTCCGTGCTTTATTTTGTTTATAATTGACCTACATTCGATATATATTCAATGATATATATTAGTGAATATGTACAAATAAGACTGAAAAATATAAATTTCTTGGCATCAAAATAAATGTGAAATAAAACGTGTTGAAATGGCAGAACTTTTTTGGAGGATCGTAAACTCGTTCTGTGCGGCATTTCTCCATCGAATTTATTTATATGTGAATCATTGCTAAATTTTAAAGTTATTCAAGGTCGTTAGAATGTTTATGTCACGTATTGTCTATTGTTGACTCACATGACTAAATACGAGCTAGAAAAGCATTTGAATTTAAGATTTCATTACACCGTTATTTGGAATTATGTGAAACTTCTCTTTTGGAATCACCAACGCATCATCGTAAACGCATCATCAGCGGCGGAACGAACATTTGAAATATTACTTCATGAACCGTTCAATGATTGACAGAGAAATTTTGGTTTTATAGCAAAATAACCAAAATTCAATTTTTTTTTCATGCCCGAAGCCTGCTAGTACTTAGCGTATGTGTACTCCTAAAAAAGAACTTCATCGATTTACAATTATAAGAATATTATTAATGTTATCTATGAAGTTGCTGGCAGTGATAAGAAATGGAAGAAGTATTATTGAAAACTCTACCATTAAAACTTTCAAATAGTGCTTTAGTGAGTTCCTTCATATATAAGGCTCGAAAACGGGACAAAAATCGCTTTGTTAGTGAACTTGTATGAACAAATGACACATATTCTCGTCGACTTGGAGGTACACTACCTGTAACGGGAGTTTGATTCCTTCCCTAGTATTTGCGAATTCTCTCTTTGTTTGTTAAATAAAACGTAAATTGACAAGACATCCGGGTGGTATAGAAAGCAGCGTGAAAAAGATCAAGTGACAATATAATATAGAAAAAGAATAATACATATCGCCAAAAATAAAAATTCAGACAACAACAAAACGTTCCGTGTCGCGAAATGGTTTATAAATTACTTGTTGCGATTCTATTTTTAACTGAAAAAAATACAGTAATTTTATTTTTCTAAAACCAAGCCTGTTTTGACATTGAAATTTAGAAAAACTTCTAGACACGATTCAACGGTTTAAGGATTTTTGATATAAAACTTGATCATTTATGTCGCAAATACTCAAATACACACGATTTAATTCCCAATCAGGCGACATATAAAACTCATTGACATTTTACCTCGGATTTAATTTCTTGATGACTTGTTAATTGACCATTAAGAAGGGTTATCAACAGTTCACATTTCTTAAGAGGGCTAAATTATTGAGCAAATCATCTGAATGTCGATATATGTATCGTACTTTCCCATGAATGATAGATCTTTACGAAGATGGAATAGTATTATTTAGTTCAAACCCTAACTAAATATTCAAGTACTGATGATTTGGTTTCTGCGAGACTGACTACGTAGTCTCGGGGTCGGGGTTCGGAATGCATATAATTCAAGCACGCCAATCGAGCTAATCTGGAGCGAAGTCGAAAAAATATATAGTTAGGACCGAAAAAAAGTAAAAGTACGAAATGAGTGGAAACGTTTTCAACCTAGATGCAGAAGCAGCCATTTCCTACTCTACATTTACCTTTTCACATAGAACTATAGGAACCCAACATTTTGTGTTTTTATTTTTCAGTAAATGCCTAATTACCAACCCCATTATCCGCGCTTTGCCTTCCTTGTTACTTTACGTTATTCCCAAATGAAGGTTGCGACTAGGTCAACTGCCTGGTATTTCCATCATCGACATGGCGCGGTTTCCTATCTTCATAATCTACTCGTTACAACAAATGTATGTAGCAGAAAATGTATACGCGAATCGCAGGCCAACTTTTTGTGTATTTGCGTCTCTTGCATCGGCATTTTTCAGCATATGACTAAAATATTGGCTAATTAGACTGGTTTCCTCGTAGACATGAAAGTGTGCCAAACTATTTCAGGACATTTCCTCGAAATATGGCTGTAATTGGTCACGGACGACACATGTACAATAACATTCATTCCTAGTGCCAGTACATTTTCAGTCTGAGCTGTGGTTCTGGGAATTTGAATTAACTAAGTAAACCAATCAATGCTCCGCTTTTATGGAATATGAGTGAACTCTGATGACTTATCACAAACAATAAACAATGATATGATAGGAAATAAGTTGTGGTGTAACGTGGATAACATCATTTATTTCATGAAACACTGATTTTGTGATTTGAGGCGTCTGCCTTCAATCGTTTTCAACAATTCAACATTGTATGAGTAATGTTGCGGTAACTATAAGTCTTTATTGTGACATTTATGATATTTTCACCAAGTCTCGAACGTCGCGAATCGCGTCGACAATAGGAAACGACAAAATTTGGAAATTGAATTGCAATCCATTGATTATAATCATAGGTTGAATAAATGCCGACTTTGAAATATTATAAAATATTTGTTATGTTTTATTTTTCTACGGTGTTTCACAACCCCAATTAAAATAAGACTTCTACAGCCAACATCAAGAACGAACGTATTTTTGAAAAAAAAAACGAGATCTCCAGCGTGTGGTGCCATGCAACTTTTGGCCAAGTGAACTAGTCAGTTGACGTTACAAACTTTTATTGATAAATGCTCATGGAACAATATTTATCTGTGTATATTATATTACCAAGATGACTGATTTTTCAGATGTATAAGCGGCTACTACATATTGGAATCAGGCAATTGTGTTCCTTGCAATTGCAATGGAAATATCGATATAAATGATCCCGAATCGTGTGACGCCAACACCGGAGAATGTCTTCGTTGCTTGCATGGAACTGCAGGGCATAACTGCGAAAATTGTGACACATACTATTACAGAAATGTGGAATCAGGAATTTGTGAATGTACGAACTTCACTTTTTATTTTATGCATTGACTATCTCATCTGTTTTGTCTTCATGCAAAACAAATTAAGTTGAAAAATAATGCAGGTGCTTCTTCTATAGCCAATTTATGGTTTTAGAATAAGCAAAAATATGATCATGAATTTCCCTATTTTTTCAACAATAGACGGGAAGACAAAAATGCACCTTGTGATAGCTATACTCATTATACGAATGAAGTATTCTTACGTGTGATAATTCTGCATCGGACCTAAAGACTTTGGTATTTGAACTACATGTACCACGCATATGCATTCGTTCAACATTTTGATTAGTTATTTGATCAGTATAATTAGAGCTGAATCTTACTACTTCGGAAGACAAGAAAACTGACTGCTTTCGTTCATTGGTTGATTCTGCTAGATCGGTATTAAGTCATTTAGATATTACTGCAACTACGAGAAATTCTCTATAAAAGAGAGACGAAATTATGACAAAAGAAAAGGCGCTTATTTTTTAGATATACCATTTTGGTGCCTACGTACTTATTTCAAAATACTATGCTACCCGCAAAATTTATACCCATTTTGCAGCTTGTGAATGTGACATCAAGGGGACAGATCCATCAATGTGTGCGGATGGGAAGTGTTCATGTGATAAGGAGACCGCCCAATGTGAATGTCTTCCCAACGTTACAGGAATTTCTTGTCAAGCTTGTGCAGAAACGTTTTGGGGATTTGATTCTGTCGAAGGATGTCAGAGCTGCGAATGCAACGGCCTTGGTTCTTTTTCTCAGTCCTGTAACGATGTATGTATTTTTTTTATTTATTTAACGGTATTTCAAGCTTGTGAACAAGTTTTCAGATATAATTCAAACACTTCTTTTAACCAGATCAATGGAGAATGTGAGTGTCTGCCTGGCTACAGTGGCATAAAATGTGAATTATGTGACAAAGGATATTTCAGAATCAATGAATTTGACACATGCAAAGGTTTGTATGTTTAATAGCTTACACTCGCGAAAGAAACAATGGCTGCTGGACAAAAATAGCTTGGCTGTTTTCAGAATTATTGGAAAAGTATAGGAAGCCATCATATTCGGTAACAATGTTAAAGTCTAATTAAACTTTGTTGCATGAAGAACATTGTTTCATGAAAATCGTATTTCGTGTTTATTTGTTTTACGTTTCTCAAAACGAGGTACTAGTTATACAAACTGCGAGGCCAATGCATAACCAACGCATTATTCCCTTGATTTGGCCGTCTCTCTACTCAAATATTATGTATATGCTAGTCTTTTGTTGTTGCTTTTGCACAGCCTGCTTTTGCAACATGGAAGGAACAGAAATCTCGACCTGTGTCGATGATGCCTGTACATGTGATCAGTTCTCTGGACAATGTTCTTGTTACCCCCATGTTGTTGGAATTTCATGTAACCAATGCGAAGATGGATACTGGAATTTACAAGCATTCGGTGGATGTGAAACATGTGATTGCCACAAACAAGGTTCAAATTCTTCCACTTGTGATAAGGTATGAGATATTTTTGTATATTGACTGTGTTATTTTTAATTTGGGTACTTTATTTATGGAGTCGCGAAATTTTATCCAAAAGATGCTAAGCGGAGGTGGCGATGAAATAATGTGTAATATACTTTAAAAAATGACTAATTATTAATGTACGTATTTTTCGTGTGTAAAAATTTTCATTTTTAACGAAATTTGTAGTTAAAATGGAATGATCATTTCGTAAATTGGCTTTCAGCCTGAAACTATGCAACACAATAAGCGGACGTTGAGGACGGCTTCGCGCCTGTCTAGAATGATCGCACCCAATCTGAGACTTCAAACCAGACAAAGAAAAGAATGACCCATATTTATTTCAAATATTATATTTTAATCTATGTGTTTGGCTGTTACACCGTTTATTAAAAGCTTCGTGATTTTACAGTTTACAGGCCAATGTGAATGTCTACCTGGCCACGCGGGTTTGAAATGTGAACTGTGTGAACGAGGTCATTCAAAACTGAATGAAGAAGACCTTTGTATATGTGAGTAATAAGTCTGAAACTGAAAATAAATTGTGGTTTTGTGGGGGGGGGGGGGGGGGGTGTAACTAACGAGATTTAACTCGACCAAAGAATAAATTAAACAGCCGATAATAAACATATAAATCCTGCAAAAAAGGAATTTTCAGAATTGGCTCTTTTGAAGTGTCAAAATGATAATATAACTTTATCGGCGTTCAAATGTTTCCACTGTGTTGTAACACTGATTGTGAAATAATCGTTCGTTTGTAGCTTGCGATTGTGACGTGAATGGCACTTCATCCTTGGCTTGTATCAACGGAGTTTGCAGCTGCGATGACTCAAATGGTCAATGCCCGTGTCGTCCAAATGTTGTCGGATCATCTTGTCATGAATGTGCAGATATGTTCTGGGGATTTGGCTCGGAAAAGGGGTGTAAATCATGCGATTGCAACTGGTTGGGAGCAATATCGTTATCTTGTGACGTGGTACGTTTGTTGCTTTTTATGTTACCTGGCTTTTGAATAAAATATCCGAATATTGTCTACCTCGTAAATAAGTTTACAGCGGGTGACTGAGAAGCCAAATAGCAAATGAAGCCGGAAATTATTCCTCAAACCACTATTCATTCATTACTCACCACACAGGTGACACATTCGTATCAATTTGTTCAATGCCAGTATTCCCGTGTTCCCATTCATTAGTTATAACTACGTGAATGTGTACAACATTCCAGATTATTGGCGCTTCAAAGATGATGGCTTGTAGTTCACATCCATGCTGATAAAAATATAAAACAAATAATCGTTTGATCATTATTACTTTGCAGAACACAGGAGTTTGCGAATGTTTGCCTGGATATTCAGGAACAAAATGTGAAAACTGTATAATTGGATATTTTGGAGATGATTGTAGAGGTTACACAAATTTTTGTCCAATCTATTATAAGTGATATTTTAGCCTATAGAAATGCTAACAAGAGTATATATCTCTTTTCATGCGTCGATTCATCAAATTCAAAATAGGCTTTATTGCCTGCCATTGTCTGTAGGACAGTGAAAGACAATCAGTAAAATAAAATTCTCGGTACAAATAAGATATATATTAGATTTACTTCACAAAAATTTGCTCAAACAAAACATTTTTTGAAATCTAGTTTAAAATGTTATCGCCCTCAGCAGTGTTGTCGAAGAGTCCTACTCTCATGCAATATAAAAAATCGTCTCTTGGGAATATAAAGGCATGTAAATAGAAATAATACTTTTTCTCTGTAGAGTGTGAATGCTCTGAAGATGGTACAGATAAATCCACTTGCGATGAAGATTTTTGTACTTGTGATGCATCAGGACAGTGTTCATGTCTTCCACATGTTATTGGCAGATCTTGTGAGGAATGTGAAGATGGATATTGGAATATTACAAGTGGTGAAGGCTGCGTACCGTGTGCTTGTCACAAAGCTGGATCTTCATCCAACGTTTGCAACAAAGTGAATAAAAAGTAGTGATATGAGGAAAATATTGATGATATTTATCAAGATTTAATGCAATTTATAAGCTTGATGTTATCAATATTTTATTTTATGAATCACGTACAGTTGGTTTACGTATTTGAAACAATTCATTCAACAAAGGACACTTGATTGTGAACATATCTGAACAATAACAATACAATTTATTTTCAGATGAATTATATAAGAATATATCGCAAGAATTTCAGACCTTAAGTCTTCTTATAATACATCTATGCATACAATTGTACCGTCGACAATTTCCAAGTAAATTTATGCTGTAAATTTAGCACTCGTCGTAATTCAAACAAAACTTACTTTTTTGAATATGATATTATTTGAAATTGTTTATCAGGCCAGGAAAAAATGTTCAAAAATGTTGTTTTATGTAATTTAGCAAACGGGTGAATGTGATTGTTTACCGGGACATTCGGGAATAAAATGTCAGAAATGCAATCAAGGACATTCAAGAGAAGACTCTGCATCGCCGTGTGTCGGTAAGCCAAACTTTAAAGTTCGGATGTTTGAGAGCCATTCAATACAAATTTTTTAATGAAGAAAATCTCTTGTGTAGGACCACGAATCATATATATAAGACATGCGTTTATTAAGTTACTGACATGAGAATTAAGTCTTGTCTTTCTCATTTTTCAACGTCGCGTTTTCACTTTTTGAATTATTTTGTGAATGTTAATAATTAAATTGCTGGAAGTTGAGCGTTAATAATTCATTTTCTGTTTCCATCGTCAGAATGTGATTGCAACATTAAAGGAACCAATTCTTCAAGTTGTGACGACGGTAGTTGCTCGTGTGATGCAACCACTGGACAGTGTTCTTGCCTCCCAAATGTTATGGGATTGCTATGCGACGAATGTAATGACGGTTACTGGGATTTCGAGTCGAAATCTGGCTGTCGAAAATGTGGCTGCCATAAACTTGGCTCTCTGTCACCATCATGCGACAAGGTTTCTATTATTTTTAGTCATCTTGGAGGAGTACGTTTTGATTGAAAATAGATATAGCGCAAACTGACAGTATGATTGGATATTGTAAACAAAAAAGCCCTTCCAAACAATTAACGTTTTATATTTATCAAAATAAATGTTTACCGGCGTATGCAGCTTTCTTGCTTTTGCGCGCATTATCTTTAAACTTTATATTTAATATTTTTCTCCAGAACACTGGGATATGCGAATGTTTACCAGGTCACCTTGGTACAAACTGCGATCAATGTGACAGTGGATATCATAGAAAAGATATGCGTGACGAGTGCAAAGGTATAATATTTGAAAAAGTTATAGGCAATTTTATAAGCTCAGCAAAGCACGATAAACCAAGAGGAGATAATTATTGCTGTTTGTTTTACATTTGGAAATATTTTTCTTGACTGACCGTGTCGCGTGGTATGTGTTTAGCTCACTCTGCCAACTTCTAGGAACACGCTTTCCGTGTTGGGTATTATCCGAGGCTGGTTTTACAGCATCTAATCCCTGGGGGAATAATTAGATACGAAAAAATTTCTGAAATGCTTCCTCAGCCTGCTGTATGGAAATTAGCATTTGGCTGTATCATACAGCGAAGTATAATCATATCGTGACATGAAATGATATCAAAAAAGTTCATAACACGATTGTATTCGCATAATTAGTGCAAGGCTGTCCTGTTTGTTTATTTCACTGATTGGACCTTCTGGTCTTTCAGAATCTCTTCATAATGTCAAACTTGAATATATTTACTAATGGTGTCATATTTTCTAGCCTGTAAATGCAACACGTTTGGAACCAATCCAGTGACATGTGTCGATGATGTGTGTGGATGTGATTCTTTTAGCGGCCAATGTAATTGTCTGCCTAACGTGATTGGACTTTCTTGCGATAAATGCGATGACGGATTTTGGAATTTAGGATCTGAAATAGGCTGTGTTAATTGCTCTTGTCATGTGGAAGGTACAAGAGATCCGGCGTGTGACAAGGTAAAGAGTAGTATTTCAAATTTATTCTACGCACATAAAGTTGTAGGTAGAATAGTCGCAAAAATTTCCACGCGAAACAAAACTTTGGGCATACGGCGCTCCAGAAGTGTGTGTACCAATATGGAAGTAAACTAATTTTGTTCGCCTACTTTACATCAAGTTGTGTAAAGAGACTGAAACCTATGGGTAGAGGGTATATTCACTTGACTAACACAGACATTCCCCGGAATCGTAATAAAACTAATTTAAAAAAAAAAAAGGAATAAAATTATGGCCCAACCCTAACCTGGTACACATACTACGGGAGTACCGGGCATAGACGTATTGTTTTCAAGATGGCGCATCACCGTGAGCAAATGCGGGTTTGCATATGATGTACAAAAAAGAAGATATATTGTGATTGTAACAAGATTGTATTGTGGTAATATATTTTGAAATGAATGAGAGGTGTATTTTATCCACGAGAAACTATTTACAAGGCGAAGGAATGAAATTCATATTTAATTCAAACGATCCTGAATTCGACCAAAATCTTTCAGGTTCGCCTCAAGCTCATCCCATTAACACATGTTACTGTAGAAAAAAATTCTATATACACACATATATTCACGGCATGGTACACAACAAATATTTAGATATGCGATGGAAGTATTGAATAAAAAATTAAAATCGAACATTCAATTAAACACTGTAAATTTTACGGTTACTCAGCGTAGGGACAAAATTTTGTGAAGTTATACTGTTTTATTATTGTTCAATGATTCTTTCATATTTTTACTGCTTTCATTTGATTTTGTATCTTTTTGAGTTTACACTTTCCAGAATTAACAGTGTGTAAACATGTTTAAAACTTTATAACAGTACTTCCAAGACAAACCTCAGGGCAAGAGAAAATAAGAATAACCTTTAATTACATATCAAATTTATCTAATCGAATTACGTGCGTTTATAATATTGTTCTATGTTTAAATGAATAGGCAAACGAATCTGAATAGCACTGCTGTATTGCAGATAAATTTTTATCAGTCAAAGCCTCCACTTTTTGCTTTTGCGCAATATTCAATTTAAATATTATTCATATAATTGTATATAAACATTAAAACATATGTACAAACGTGTGAGTTACTAAAACAAATAATCATATATCCCTAATCAAATTGTTCGCTTATGTAACTATTTACATTTTCCATTTGAACCAAACTAGCCGTCTTTCTGATTTTCTGATGCCAGTAGACGGTTCTTCAGCTTCCTGCAGTTTTCCACAACGTGTCCTCTCGTCTTACAATATTTGCATCCATCCATCGAAGTTCCTTTGTTATAACTGGCATCGGTTCTTTTGTTGTGTGTACGCAGAGGACCAAGCACTCCAAAATGCGGAAATACCGCCGTGCTGCGCTGGAGTTGTTCATAGCACTCAGCTAAGTTTTTTGGCGGAACTGCCTGGTATTGAAACAGACACTTGGCTTCTTCGTTTAAAAGTCCTCTAGTAAATGCTCTAACCATAGCAATATCGGTCAATTGTCCTGGTTTGGCGCAATTTCTCGCGTATCGAATCAAGTGTTCACCGTATTCAGCATATGGTTCTCCAATTCTTTGCTTTCGAAACGATTGCAATACTGGGCAGCCATCGTTTATTCCGGCGGGAAATAATTTGAGCAATGCTCCGAAAATAGCGTTTGTATTGTAATAATCCTCGCGAGCAATGAGACGACGAATCGCAACAACCACAGCTGGATCCATGTACTGACATACAGCAATCGCTTTCTGTGGATCATTTTTGATTAATCCGTTGAGTGAGATGGAAGCTTCAATAATATCAATAAACATTGAAGCATCTTGGCCAAATTGATAAGGTACCACCAAAAGCGGGCGGATTTTTAAAGATTCATGGACCTCGTGATATTGTGCCGTTGTTGGTTCCCCCATTGGATTTTCTTTCTTTTTTGCACAGGTCACATAGTTAGGCAGAAATATATCAACGGGATTTTGCGAGTTTTTATTGCTTGTAATATTTGAAAATGAATATCGTAAAGTAGATTTGCTTTTGAACATTTGAATGATGAAACACTACGACAGCTTGACTGCAGCAAATTGGATGGACGTTTTTTACGTGTAATTTGATTGGGATTAGAATTTCTATAAAGTCGCTTCCACTTTTATATTCAGTTTTAAGTTAGATCCAGATTCAGTAACGTTATTATTGCATGTTTTCAAAACTCAGCATGCAATTTAAACGCTGTCCAATACGCACTAAAAAGTTTTCCAATACTCATTTCAGGTTTCAATCACTAAAATCATCACTAAAATGAAATAGGAGATAATATTAACTTTTCAATCCACAATTTCACTAATAGGTCAAAAAGGTAACTTACATAAGAAAAGCAGCTGCAGAGACAAATCTAGTTACACTCTTTCTAAGCACAGAAGTATAAAATAGCAAAAATCGAAAAGGTAATAAACTCCTTCGCCGAAAATTATAGTCGCAAAACTGAACTATAAAGTAATCAGATAGACTTATATATTCGAAAATGACACGTCCACGTACGTCTCTTTTCTCAGGAAATACCCATTTTCCTGATCACTTGATACTGTGATATGCTTATATATATATAAATAAAATCAAGCTTTGAGTAACGATTTTATTCTTTAAGAAGTAAAACGTTACGTAAGCGAGCACGCAATATAACTGCAAATAGGGCTATGTTAACATAGCATATTATGATTTCACATATCCGGTTTGCAGAAAAAATAGTCTCGAATGAGTAAATTTGTATACGGATGTACTGTACATAACTTCGACTGGAGCCCGACAAGGCATACTAAATCTTTAAATAAAATCATCTTAAATGTATAATATACTAAATAGTCGTTTCCTTGGCTTTTAGGGAGGTTTTGTTTTTACTGGCATATCTATTTTATCAACCACAATCAATTTGAGTCGTGTGGGAAATTTTTTGTCTCGTCGTACTCCCACTATTATTGTGTTACTCGTTTTACGATATGATATCACTAGTAATATGACTATCTCTCATGCTGCTTTGAAATAATAATATATGCTCTCTCAAGACATTTTCATATCACCTCATTCGTTTTCTTATTTATTTGTTTTTATATTTGAAATAACTATCATTTTATAATAAGCTAGAGCTTCACTTTCATCCCCGCGTTTGAACTGTTTTGTCACACAATTGCTCAAGAATGATTTTGGAATGATAGAATTTATAGGCAGTTTTGAAATACTGTTAGAATTATTTGTCAAAGCACCCAATTCATATGTGAATTAAAAAGATGATTTCACGCCATCACTCCATAAGTCACTCATAGGTTTCGATTTGGAGAACTGCTTTCGTTTCCGCTTAGCGTAACCAATCTGTTATACGATGTATAAATTTCTGGGCTTGTATGGAATTTCAAAGATTCATTTAATACTATTTTCAACAGGTCACAGGAGTTTGTGTTTGCCATCCAGGACACACTGGAGAAAAATGCGAGAAATGCGATACGGGTTATTTCAGGTTGAATTCAAATGAAAGATGCAAAGGTACAGAAAAAAATATGTCTGTGTTCTATACGAATCTAGCAGATGTCTATCCCTTTAAGACAATATGACCAACACTAATCTTGTATATTTAAGCGGTTTCAGGATTCCAATTTACAGTACAAATTGCTGTTGTATGATTAAGTCTTGCACACATTTGATTATAATAGATGTAATAAACAATAATTGTTCATGACGAAGTGAAATGCATGTCAATTTTACGAAGAAACTCTACAAACAGCCCTCTAGCACTATTATATTTATTCATTACATTATATTTTCTAATATAGAATGCAAGTGTAACATGTACGGCACGAATCCAGCAAGTTGTTCAAACGGAGTTTGCACTTGTGATGCAACAACCGGCCAATGCAATTGTCTTCCAAACATTGATGGAAAATCTTGTGATAAATGCGATGAAGGTTTCTGGAACATAAGATCGATGACAGGTTGCAAAGCATGCAGATGTCACCTCAAGGGGTCAACATCGAGAAACTGTGAAGAAGTTAGTTAATTCAAGTTGAATTTGACAGTGCTTTGAACACGGAGTCGGCTTGCCTATTCATTTTAAAATAATATTGTTGAAACACAAATCCGTCACACTATTTGTTTGCGAAATTTTTCATTAACTTTCGTTTATAAAAACAAATGGATACTTCCCCGTGAATCGACTATCTTATTTATTTCCGTGACATTTCCTAATCATGGAGAAGTCAACAGTGACGTAACAATTAAAATTATCTCGGTTAATTTTCCTGAAATTATGAAAGATTGCGCCACCGCACGGCGATTCGATTGACTGTCGAATAGGGTGTGGCGGTAGTCTGTATTGCCACAATTTGTCGTCCATATATTTGAGCAATGCTCTCTAATTATATTCGTTTCTGCCACAACTAAGCTCTAGTTACACCTTAAAGGTCTCTATGTTTTGACTGAACTTAACCCTCGAGAGTGTATTTTTTCAGACTAATTATTTGTATATAATACTTGCATCTGCACAAACGATATGAACATTTTCACAGAAATCAGGTCAATGTCAATGTGTGGTTGGTCATGTCGGTCAAAGATGTGAAGAATGCGATAAAGAATATGGAAGGACCAATCCACAAGCTCGGTGCGAAGGTAAAATAAAATGATTTATTGACATTCTGGTTATCATTTTGATCTTTGGAAGCCTGTATTATCTGCTCTGTGAAATTGATGGCATTTCTAATTATCTAACTCAACACGCAAATAGTAAGATATTTCTTATGAATAATCGCCGAGACGTAACCTAATAACAGTGTTTCCCAGCCTTTTTCGAAATATTCCTCCCTCACTCTATACATAATTATATTGTTTATTCAATTTTGCTTAAACGATCCTTACCTAGTGCAACCCGCACTCTGGCTTTTGTACAGTTGGAATAGTTTATAATGTTTTACAATTACTAATTACAACTAATATGTGTTACAACAATACCGAGTTAAAACCAAACAATATTTGTTACACCGAATACAAAGTAATATTCCTGTATTTCCTTCCCCTAAAAAATAGTTCTCCCCGGCTGAGAAAACGTGGACTTTATACAAAGCGAATAAAATTCGATCACGAGCGATTGCTATAATTTTCGAGCTAAAAGTGTCGGAATATTATAAATATTTCCTCAATTTCCGATCGACGACCGAAAGAAGAGACTATAAATATAGACTCTCATCAAAATCACTATTACTAAGCAAATTCACAAATTCTAATTGGGGTTATTTTATTAGACGCCAGCATAAACGACGAACCTACAGATGAACCACCGACAACTGAAATTTCGACAGCGCGTACAAAATCACCGTCTACTCAAGCCACAACCACTCGAGCGACCCGTGCACCTTACATACCAGTAACGACAACAAAACGAACTTTCGTAAACCGAGGTTGTGGAGGCTGCAGTGGGAATTGGCCTTCATATTGCCATGGATGGATGTGCAGACGAAGATGGCCATACAGTCAATTTAAACCTTCCCAGAGAAGATGCAATTACGGTAAGATCCTCTAATAAAATAATAATCGTGATTGAGTGAGTGAGGCTGTAGTCAGCCAAATTATAACACTCTGATTGATTTGTAGATATGCAGCTTGAATACAAGATTCAAAAAGCGGCTCGAACAAGATGACAATCATCTGAACACGAAAATTCTCAATCACTTTTTATTTTTCAGGTCATATGACCTGCCAATACAATGTTGCATCAACTCATGGACGTTTTGGTGCTAATAATTACAATGCAAGATCGACAGCTTCACCAACCAAGCGACCAGGGCCTGCCTATGGTTACAGATTGTATGGGAGCACTAACTATTACCTGCCATATTCTGGACGACGCACAAGAACTCACACAAGAACGCGTTCCAGTCAGCGTTCAAGTGGAAGGTCGCTTGCGTATGGTTTATACAGGAGGTAAGAAGGAATTAGCGGAGAGTTTCGCGCTGAGAAAGACTTTCAAGTCTGTTTGGTCTTGATATGCATTTTGAGAAACGGTTGCTTACTTAACATGATACTAAAAATACAAACTGCATAGCAGCATATTCAAAAGGTGAAGAATGCTCTAAAATGGCATAACGTGCAAAAGGTATCGCGAAAAAGTCAACGCTGCTTGTCGAGCAGTGACGTTCTCGCATATATCAGAGGTTCAAATAACAAATTCAGTTCTGTAACTAAAAACTGAAGACGTTTTCCTCATATTCGATAGCATACTCAAAATTAAATTTAACTCAAATTCGAAAGTAGCCATTGGTGTGTCAGGAACTGACTGAGATAAACTGCTATAAATCTTGTACAATATTTGATTTATTTCTATGCATTCAAGTCCAAATAATTTATATCATCTTTTTGTTGAAACTGTTCAATAAATTTTAGTCAACCTTGTTTTTCTTTCATCAGATTGTATGGAGGTAAGAAGTAATGAAGGCATGAAGGATATCGAACGCGTGATGCCAGCGTAGAACATCCGACTGCATAAATACAAGTGTTCCCGCGACATAACTTTCCTTTCATCACACTTTCTGCAAAATAAATGAAAGTAACTTAACATTCAAAATCTGCATACAATTTCACATGTACAAAATGTCATTTTCTATTACTTCCAACTATTATATATGATCAGTATTACAACTATTTTCAAAAGTCAACTGCTAATTTTTCATTTCCCGCCCCAGGTGTTTTCTTTTTCTATTTTTTTTTAAATTTTTTGACGAGTTTGGTTGTCAAATTGCTTGGAATGAAATTGATGAAATTGGCATCTTATTGCATCGTGATCTGTATATTTGTATTTAAATACAACTTTCAAAATATTTAAAAGACTTGCTTTAGTTGTAGAGAGTGTGCACTTTTAGTGAGCGTGCTATTATTTAGGTGAGATATTATCTTCCGGGGATGTAATTATGGCGAAAAAATCAGATCATCGCCACCTTATGGAAGAAATAGTAGATATAGTTGATTGAAAAAGTTGATTGAATGTAAATTCTGATCATCAAATTTGCGCGTGACATGATAATTCACTTGATGTGGCAATATTTAAGCAATACAAATACACTTATTCATGCATATGAGCTAATTTGAATTACTCAGATGCATTGTGATTTCGTTCTAATGAACGCATAAAATTCCAACATTGAATACGTAATAAAAACACTAAATTAATGAATGCTATTTTGTATTATTGTTCTCAAGGCGGTCATGATGAATTAATTCCAACGATGCATAAAGTTGCAAGTTTTTATCATGGTTTGAGAGGGTAAATTTCTGGCATGAGCCAAATTGAAAATCAATTATATACCTGCCAATCTACGTTTTCAATCATCAAAAAGAACAAAAGCAGTGTTTTAGAACAATAATCATAAATTCTCGTTGAGAGCTACAGCCAGCTTCTTCCATCAAGTTTGAGAAGACAATGTTGCATAAAATCGAATGTGATATATTGAGATGGGTGTTTTTTTAAATAGTAGCAGGTAAATTTTTCTCTGACACCTTTTAAAAGATCTTATATATATGACAAAAACAATACTTCATAATGTTTTTTTTATCATTTTCTCAACTATTTAGTTTTATAAGCTTGACCATTGTCACTGCAAATATAACAGGTTTAATTTATCGAAGTTTTAGATCAACGTCACATATTGCGCCATAAGTGACCAAAACTTATTTTACTCTTCATTTTATGCCTCAACGATTGATAATGTTGGAACAATCAAGAATTATTTATGTAAAATTTCTCGCCTTTTTATTACTTCTGTAAATCGCATTCTCAGATATATCGTAATAGTATAATTTTTGAATTCAGTTCAATAGATCACAATCATTGACGCCATCCAAAAAGGCAGGAAATGTTCGTCGCAACTTTGTGAATTATTAATGTTATGCCGCAGCACAGCAGCAAACATAAACACGTTCTATTGGTTAAAAAATGCTCTTTTAGCGTTCTTCAGTCTCAGCAAAGTTAACAATTCGAAAATTCAATCAAAGGGAAGTGTGAGGTAAAAGAGTGATAGACATGTATTCATAGTGTAATTGGGATGAGATTATTTTCGGTTTGTATTGGAGTTTTTGTCATTTGTGCGTGTTTTATTTTCACAATTTGCATGAAATGTCATTCCAGCATATTTTGAATATATTCACATAAAAAGAGAAACAATATTTAATCAGTTTCACCTAGTTGGTAATGGTTCTGTTTTTGCGTGGTAAGTCTAATATAAAATTCTTCTCTCCCGAACTGTATAAACTCACCAGAGAACCTTCACCTAAACACCAATCATTGCTCAATGCAAATGCGACTGAGATGACCTCCTCAGTTTATTGGATCGTTGGCACTAAGAAAGATGGCGTTGTTTTAATGAAATGAATATATTTTGGAGGATAGGTATATCCTATTATAATACCAGTATATTATAAGACCACTAAATGTAAATTTATAATCTCCTATCAGGCAATATACGCCGGTATATAATTCGTTTATCTAAATTGGATATAGCTTTGTAAACTCTATTGCGTAAACCGAAGAAGCTTGAACATTACGAAGAACCGGTAGCCAGCACTGTGAAATAGTTTCAAGGTTGTTGTTTTTATCATTAAAGTTTTGGTTCTTCATCAAATCTAATCAGTGGATTAGCAATTTTCAGTGTGGTACTGCTTTGAATGAATTAGAATAAAAAACCAAGTACGGAATGAAATATATTTGAGAAATAAATTTGTAAAATAGTCAGTGATCGGAACTTCTGTGATCATTAGTTTAACTTTAGATGTTACAAATTTTGAGCAAATTATTTAATTTGACATTTTAGTCTATTAGTCTAGTACTCTAATTAGTCAACAAAAATAGGTAGGCTACAATTCTAATTTTGCTCGAAACGTTTCAAATCTCCTTCATCAAGCTGCATCCAATTTTATAATACGTTTTAATTCTCCACAATTTCTTGTATGATATTTCCATCCATTACAATATATTTATAGAAGCAAATATTGAATTTTTTAAGAAAAATTACGACCGCAATTATATACGTCGATATCCTAAATTTATATGAATATAAGAACGTAAAATTGTTTTTGTTAGTGTAAGGTAAATAATTTTATTCTTAGCCTGTTACTTTTTACGTGTTTATAATATTTTGGGCTATTTTTAGTAATAAGTAATATACCTTTTCAAGAATATTCGCCGAAGGCAAAATTATTAGGCTTAACCTAAAATTTCCAGATATTATGATTTACAAAAACCAATATTGATTAAAAAATTCAAAATCGTCCGATAATGCTATTACCAATTTCTACATCACAAACAGCGGTATTGTTTAATAAATAACGTATTTTGCAAATATCAATGACAGAATTTCATTCCAATAATATTTTTATTACCGATTAGTTAAAAATAGTGCTCAATCCGATGCAATACTGCCTCAAATGTAAAACCCTATACAATACATTTTCTTATATATATTTGGCAAAAATTTAAATAAGGGTATACGTGAATTTGAAAAATCTTTGCGTATTTCATTTTATTCCGTTGCGTTTTTATTTGTGAGCTATGCTTCCCGCCGGGACAGTCTATCTATTGTTTTGTCTGACTAAGAATATAGAATAGACGAGATGCTTCAAGCCGCCCAAAGTAAAATACAAAATTGAACTATATATAGAATCGAACAATCCATCTGAATGCTAGAGAGGCAATTTTAATTTGGTATTTGTATATATTAGAAAGCATACCGAATTTTAAATGTTTAAACACATTCAATATTTAAAATTTATATTCATTTTATTTCTTTGTTATACAATATTATCCATTTTGGATAAAGCCTGCTGTGTTGTCTGTGTGGTATCCTATTTTAATACAATTTCAATTAGACTATATGTATCAACATATATGGATGGATATTTTAATTAATCTATTTTGGTAGGGGGACATGTGTTTTCAACCCTGAAATTGATCGATTTTGGCAAATAAAATAACCTAAATTCTGAAAAATTTGTTTATCCGTATCAAAAATGATTAAAAATTTGTTAGTCAATTTATATGTTTAATATTTTCAATATCGACCGATAATAACACATACATTGTATGCTATTCCACGTTTTCTTTCCAAATCAATTTTAGATTTTGCCTAGTATTTTCGAAAGTTTGTATCGCTGTAAAATTCTTGTCAACTTGTCGTATTTTACAACAGTGATATTTCTTCGATAGCAGGTGCTACTGACGTGCATTTCGATGCAGGTTTTTCGTCCAACATTAATTATTAATATCTCATGATGACAGTAAAATTGAACTTGACAATTTTAAATGAAAGGTCGTAATGGTATATATAATGGTTATAAAGTCCATTCCATGCCTCTTTTCGAATAACACAGAGAGAGAGAGAGTGAGGGAAGGAAGATGTTTATGTTTATATGGGTAATTCGGAGACCTTAGCAATTGTAGAATAAAGCAACAAATGAGAGTTAGGTGATCTAGAGCAGGGGTTCTCGAATTTTTGGTGTTATGAAGTCCCTAGCAAGGTAGACTATTATTTACCGAGCTCCACAATAAATTTCCAAAAAATATCTATTGGAACTTACAGATAATGTCATATTTGAATCACTGCCTTTTTACCACATTCGGACGCTACGGTTGTCACATTTTATTAATGCCGTTATTGCTTCCTTTGACAGTTAAAAAATTAGCCAAGTTTTGTAAATAAACGAAAATCTCGCGTAGTCACTAGGTTACTCTCAAGGAACCATGGGGCTCCGTACGGAGCAATTTGAGAACGTGTGATTTGGAGAATAGCAGAATAGTGTAGTATAGTGTATAGTCTAACCTCACCAAGGTAATAAACTGTGGCCTCCAAGTGTCGTTTTGGCTATTCACAATTCCGTAGGTCAAAAACTAGATTTAACGTTATATCGTTTTATGTTTGTAACTTCTGTAAATTTGGACATTGCGTCTATGTTAATTCCTCACGGTTCCGATATGCTAGAAATGTATAAAATAAAAATCATTAATCATGGCGGCCGCGAAATGTCTAAATTTCGTTATCTCGCTCTAAATTAATATATATTTGTTTCGTATTTTTGAACTTTTGCTTGAGTCTCACGGGGTGTTTCTATAATTTAAATAGATTTCATTTTAGGCGTATCTAAAGTGAAATTATTATCTTTTTTACCTTATCTGTTTAGGCCGTATATTTTTATTCTAATCCATATCATTTGAGCTGGATCTCAATATATACCAATACCTTTAAACATACGGCATTAAAAACTTGCGTGATAAGCATTTTACGAAATTGGTGTATTTTCCAAATTTGAATGTTTCCATTATATAAATTATTACATTATTAGCCTGTGCGGTTCTGTTGAGTTAAAAAATACACATTCTGGATGCATTTATAGATGCAGAACACTTGAAAAGTTTCAAATACTTCGTATTTAAATTGATTGTTTTTGTCACACTCGCAACTTTCAATTTCGTTATCATTCGCCAGCAGGTGCAGTGTGAAATTTAATTTTTTATTTAAAAGATGAAGATCACAAATTGAGATTGAAAAAAAATAATAATCTAACTAAAAAAATTTTGTTCGCTCCCATTTACCGTTCACCACCGTTGAGCAACCTGGAAGTTTGATAACGTTGTTTTTATCCTATTTAATTTATATATTCATAAATTGGAACTTTTAGGTGGAAATTATTTTTTCTTCGTTTCCGTTGAGTTCTTTTTTTTATTTTTTTATTTTGAGCACTGTTTTAATCAAGTGATGACATCTACCTAAATTTATGAAATGTCTTTATTTGCTTAACACATGCATTTGTATCATTTTGATATACGTTTTAGTAAATTACCAACTCGTATTTTGTGTTATTTCTGCAATAGCGGACAAGATTGCGTCATAAAAACTGATCTCTTAAGTAAATAATTAATACTTTGAACATTTCCTATACAACTATAGAATAATTAGCTTAACATAGTTTTCGACAGGTTTCATGAGTGTTTGCTTCTATAGGGCGTCACAACGAGAATGACTCATTACTGACTGTTTCATTATAAATATAGATTTAATACACTTGCCGACATGACATATGATGATGATG